CACGAATAGTCCCTTTAATCAGGAAGACGACATGCCTGATATGATACGGATTGAAAACTCTTTACTGAACTATAAGGTAATCAGACTATATGGTGACAAGAAAACTCTTTACTGAACTATAAGGTAATCAGACTATATGGTGACAAGAAAACTCTTTACTAAACTATAAGGTAATCAGACTATATGGTGACAAGAAAACTCTTTACTGAACTATAAGGTAATCAGAATATATGGTGACAAGAAAACTCTTTACTGAACTATAAGGTAATCAGACTATATGGTGACAGAAAAATTTTCTTTTTCCTAAAATTTGTCTTGAGGGTTGTTATTTGCATTAAAGTTGAAACAGATATTGCTAAGAAAGCCCATAGTGCACATTTTCTGAGAAAAAGTATAACAGATCTGAGTTTTTGCCACAAACTCTGATTTTTATATTTATATTTTTGCAATCAAATGTCGTAGACTTTAGAAATAAATTCTTTTATATAAGATAGTATAAGTTTGAAATACCAAAGGTTTACACCATCACGTTTCTAAGATATTGGGATTGTAAATTTGATGTTGAGGCAAGAATTCAATGTTACTAATTACATTTATAATATGTAATATTAAAATCTAGATTTGTCGCATCAGTTTGAAGGGTGGTTGCACAATGTGCAATGCACATTGAACAATTCCATTTCAAACATTTTATTGGTTTTATGACCACATACGATAACATCTTAATCATTATCGTAAAAATGTATTTTTTAGGAGGAGACATCTATCGTGTTTAAACTGAACTATGCAAAGTATCTGAGTAGCGCAGATAGACAGTGTTCAAATTCAGCTGAATATAATTTCAAGGATTGTGTCGACAGCTTGGTAATGTTTTATTACATAATATGGTAATGTTGTATTACATAGCATGGTAATTTTGTATTACATAATATGGTAATTTTTTATTACTGAATGAACAAAAATTTCCATCAAATTTTTTGCCTTATAAAGCTAAAATTGTTTTTTACTTTCTAACAATGTTTTTATAATTCATATTTATAATTTTTATAAATAAAATGGCACGAAGCATAGTTAATAATTTCAATGTTCACCTTTTTTCTCCTTTCTCAATCTGCAGTTACTCTTTTTATCGCCTCCCTTTTCCCGTCCATTTATGGCGCTGCTTCTGAAAGAATGTTTACGAGTCGCTGTCTTTGCGCCATTATAAGACATTGCAGGATCACCCTTTTATTGTATAGATGTACCCTTCTCCGTTTTTTTGCATAATTGTAATTACAGCCTCAATGCTGAACATTCTGTCTACTTGCATTGACAAGGTCATCACTTCTAGCACTTCAAGTTAGTTTCTATTTCTAGCAAGGGAGCAATAGCTTCCTTGCTATGAGCCGAATATTTTTACTTTCCTGTACAAGGAGAGTTGCTATTCAACTAAGAATATTTACTTTTAATTATAAGGTTTACGATAAAATACTCGAGAGAAGGGGGGGGGGACGTCCTTCCTCGCCCAATGAAAATATTTGCAGGGGGACGGGAGCATCTGATAAATTTTGTCAATTTATAAATTATTTATTCTTTGAAAAGAGGGCACATATCCCCCTTCCAACCTTGACAGTGTCCGGGTTTTAGGGGAGGGAGGGGAGTTCTAATTAAGGATAATAACTTTTAATCTCTTCGATTGAAAAAAAATTTCCCAAGGTTCAAAAAGAAAATCTTTATTATTTTTTATTGCATTTTCTTTTTGTACACGTGGTCAACCTTTGTTATCAAATATGTCTAAATAACTTAATTGTACATTTATATAAGATTTCTGCCTAATTTTAAAATTTCATCAAGATTTAATTTCCATGATTAGAGAAAATGAGAAAATCTGCAAAATTGGGTTAATTCGCAATTATTGTTCTAGAGTAAGTGCTTAAGTAAGTTAAAAGCTTATCATATAATTCCCACAAATTTTGAAATCTTCAAATTTTCAAATAAAAACCTGAAGTTATACACAAACTTATTAAGCTTTCTTTGTTCTCTCTCAAATTAGGAACAAAAATACAGCGGATCAATTTTTAACACGTATTTATAGTTCGATAGAGGAAAACTTTATTTTTTTTAAGTAAAAAAAGATTATCTTTGTTTTTCTAATAATATTTTCTATATAATCTATATAATAATACAATATAATATATAATATAATCTAATATTTCTAAATGAGCACAATTTTTAAACTTAAACCAAAAATTATCCATATTTTGTTCAGACATTTTTTTTGAATTTTTGTCTGTCCAATCATTTATCAAATTCCCATTTCAGAGACCAAACGGAAAATCTTTAAAAATTTAATCATTTAAAAAAGTGTACAAAACTAATATAGAATTTTGGATTCAGTATTCACTCTGTTTTTTAACTTTTTGAAGTAGAATGGAAAATTGTTTAATTTGTATTTTTTTTACTCAAAAAGTATTAGTCTGAGGCTGTTAGAATTTTCTGACTTTTCCTAAATTCCCTTAGCCCCCTCTTTAAGCCTAAAACCGGGCTTTTATACTAACTGCCTGAGTCCTCAGACACATTGCTTTGTTAGATTTGATAATTTTTAGCTTTTTGGAAGCTTATGACATAAGGAAATGGAATGCACAAGTTTTCCAAAGAAATTTTTGAAAATTATTTGCATACAATCCGTCAAAAGAAATTTGCCTATTTATAGTTTTTCTTAATTACACTTCAGGTTATTTAAAATTTTGCAAAATATTTTGCAAATTTGAAATGGCACGGTCAAGGGCTTTTCAATAAACTCATATTTTGTAAATTTTTTTACCTTAATTGACCACAATTGACCACAAATGACCTGAAATGACCACATATGACCTGAAATGACCACACATAACTTGAAATGACCTCAAATGACCTCGAAATTTAGTACCTGGAGGATAGAGACTGGCAGGATCCCTGGTACTGGAATATAAACATCAACAAAACCAAATCTACAAATAAAACTCAAGTTTTGGATTATTATTCACAGGTCAAAAACAGGGGGTTCCATAAAACATGATAAAAAAATGTTGCTTATATTTCAATTTTAATTTAATGTTTATGTAATTTAAATGTTCAATACTAAAACTAATTTTTTTTCTCTTGTGCACTGATATAACTTTATTTCGATTGTGAGTTCTGAGGTCGAATTTAAAGAATTTAAGACGCGACTCAATCGGTCTCTGAAATGATTAAAGAAACTGTAAACGCAAGTTAAAGTGTCGGGCATGTCCAATTCACAACGGTACCCTTTAAGGCTTTGTCAGATCAAGTGTGAACTATAGATAAACATCACACTTTCATCATTATTAGATGTATCTTAACGGAACTCTTGTCTTATAAATAACGGTACCCTTGAGACCTAAATCTGATCATTAATTTTAAAGTATTTAATTCTGATAATTTCTTCACTGTTTCTGAAACAAAACATGCTCAACTCACGTTAAAAGAAAGCGTACTAATAAAAATAATCAACTTTCAAAGAGAAGAAGATTGATATCTCTTGCATTATTGATCAGACAAATTATTTAAAGGTACCGTTGTGTAATGTGTATTATGATAAATGGAAAATCACTTTAAATTACGTCTACAATTCCTTTAATTATTCATTATTTTATATTTAAAGGGACACGGTGCTCACAACAACATACAAGACAGACAGTACAAATCTAAGGAAAATATCATTAATTGTTTTCAATGCAGTTAAAGCCAGAACTTATCGAAAGAATTTATAAAATGTCGTCTTGGCAGTTTTACATGGGCTTTGAGAGCTCCATACAATAAATAAACTAAATAGCATTTCAGAAGTTTTGAGTTAAAATGTATTTTCAATTTTTTACACTTTAAGAAATGTAAATCTTCATCTAACAAAATTTGTTGTAGCACTGCCGAAACTTAAAATTTAATAAACTTTATCTAACCAAACCAAACTCGTCCTTTAAGAGAATCAAACTTCAAAATTTGGTTAACGAAATTTTGTTAGGTGCAAATTTGACATTTCTTAGCAAAAAAAATTTGAAACCAAATTTTGCAAAAAGTATTTTAATAATTATCGAAAATTGGTTTTGTACATTTCATTTAAATCGAATTCAAAATTTTTTTGTACATTTTGTAACCCTAGACATGTAGATTTTATAACTGCAACAAGCTTGTTGTAGTCGTTTTCATTTTAAGCTTAAAAGAAGTAATTAATCATTGTGATTTCTGCCATCTTACTTTTTCATTTTCATAATTTCTATCTCTAATGTACGGAAAAGTTCGACTCCTAAGATAGATAAATAAAAACCTAATATCACGTCACTTATTATAGAGGCGATAGTGAATTCATATTAGGTTTTTATCTATCTATCTATCTTAGGAGACGACATTTTCCGTACATTGGAGCGCATCGAGAGTAACCAACCTTATTATACTATCTTGATCTCTTCACAATTTCAATGATTTTGGATCCAAATTTAATGGATAGCAAAATGTAGTTGAACTGTGAAGACTAAGTTGAACCATTTCTATTAACTTGAACCAGTTAAAGGGGTTCAACGACTTCTCTAAAGCTCCTGTTCAAGCTAAAGTTAAGATGTTTGGTCATATCTTTTACCCGGGAACTATAACCTAATGCAGGTTCAAATTTGAACCAACGCCGATTGAAAGTTAAAATGTCAGGAAGGATTTGAATCGGTGATTCAAATTTGTACCGGCAGTTTAGGTAGTTTAGAGACTCTTCAAATTCATTAAATTTGCACTCCGAACAACCTATTTTTAACTAAAGAGTAAAGTTTGAGGTAGCTTTAATATTTGAGTATTTAAGTTACTGATGATATTATCCAGCGAGATATCCTAGCTATGGGATGCCCACTAGCTTTAATATTTAAGTATTTGATTTACTGATGATATTATCCAGCGAGATATCCTAGCTATGGGGTGCCCACTAGCTTTAATATTTAAGTATTTGATTTACTGATGATATTATCCAGCGAGATATCCAAGCTATGGGGTGCCCACTAGCTTTAATATTTAAGTATTTAAGTTACTGATGATATTTTCCAGCGAGATATCCTAGCTATGGGATGCCCACTAGCTTTAATATTTAAGTATTTGATTTACCGATGATATTATCCAGCGAGATATCCTAGCTATGGGATGCCCACTACCCTGCAATAGAAGCTCCTTTAGTCTTGAATATACGTGAGTAACATTCAGGGTTATCTACAACGTATGAGAGTTTGAAGACGACCTGTCAATCTGTTTATGAAACATCAAAATTGGAGAAAAAATTCCTGCCAAATCAAAAGAAAAATCCACCAAAACTTGAAAAAAATTTATAATGGCCGACTTTCAGAACAACAGAAAAAAAGCTAAATTTATTTACAGGAAAGGGAATGACCCTGTAAAAGGAAAAATTAAAAATCCAATTTTGTTGTAATTTTTTATATTTAAAGAAAATAATGTTCAGTACTTTAATATTATTTTCATGAGTTTTAATTATTCATGATGTAATTTTATATCATTCCAACCAAACAACCATTTTCAGATATATTCGTCAAGAGAAGATTGATATTGGTTGGGGAAGAGAGGACTTCGATTTTGCTATTTCTATTTGGGCAAAGGTATCACTTAAATTTGTCATTGATGTGAAAATATAATGGGCTTCCAAATATATACAGTGCTACCCAACCCATGAGATTGTACATTTGACTTGAAACGCTTTATCACTCTTGTATGCCGAGTCCATTAGCGCCTGATCCAATCAGGGTTCAGTCATGTGTTTGTTGTCTATTCTGAACCAATAGAAATAGTATGGCGGTAACATTTATCTTTCTATCTCATTATCCAGTTAGAGATATGAATCCTTCAATCGGCGCTATAACAGGGAATGGAAATATTTAAATTTGACAATTTTAAGGTAAAATTAATTCTTCTGCCTTGAATATTGAAATAAAAAGTCGTCTTCATTGTATTGATAAAATCTGATTCTTTGTGGGTAGGCAGCGCGTTAGTCTCATTCATAGATTATTAACAATACAGATAGAACACTGGAGTCATATTTTCGAGATTTAGAGGTTTTCCGATAACATTAACCTTGAGGCAGAAGCCCAAAGGAGTTACGCACCCATTCTCTCTCTCTGTCTTGTAATTCGACGCGACATGCGCATAACTTCTTTGGGTTTCTGCCTCAGGGTTATTGTGAACGAAAAACCCCTTATTCTTGAAAAGACGACATCTAGTGTTCTATCTATATTGTTATTAATCTATGGTCTCACATTTTAAAATAATATTTTTTTTGTCTAGAATTTTCAAATTGAGGACAGCGAAGAGATAATAGTGTGTGATTCAACCTGTCTTTTAGGGGAGGTAAATGTCATTTAATAAGGACCAGAGGGGGGGGGGGAAGGGGAGACGACCCCCCTGGAAAAAATTAGAGCACAACTTCAGAAAGGGGGAAACTTCTAGTGCCTTTTTTATTTTTAACATTGATTTGAAAAAAAAAATTCTTCATTTTGCTTTTGTTAATATTTTGTAGCAACGTTTTTGAACGACATTTGCTATGTAACAAAAAAAAATTAATTTGTCGCAGCACTCGGCTCCCTTTTCAGAAGTCCTCAATTTAATCCTTACTATTGTTGCACAGCAAAAATGACGTTTAATTTTTGTGAATATTAAGAAAACTAACACAAACATTACTAAAATTTGTGTTATTATATATATACTGTCAAATTATTGAACAATCCCTTTCATACAGTGATTACCAGAAAACTACAGTGAAACCCTTAATAAGGAATACATCGGAAGAATTTATCAAATGTCGTCTTGACAATTTTTCAATGAGTTTTATACTATATTACGTAAATTTCAGTATTTGCGAAAATAAATAAACAGCCATAAATATGCGGGAACAGTTTTAAAGATTTCCATATAATCACTTAATTAAAAAAACTAAATATCTGCAACATTCCATTATCAGAAAGTGAAGAATACGACATTTGATTAATTCTTTCGATGTCTTCGTTATTAAGGGTTTCACTGTATGAATTATGAAATTTATAAATTTATAACTAAAAAAAGTGTGCAGTGTAAACTCGTTTTAGTAGGTTTGTGATTTAATAAATATCAAGTAAAAATATTTCCTTAGTAACATCATCAAATACACTCAAGTATTGCTATGATGCGTCTTTCTATTCCATTGTTTTCTGGTTGCCACTGTATGTTTTCTAGGTTGGGGTAATATTGGATTATATCTGGGTGTATCTGTTATCACTCTTGTGGATATTCTATTCATTATACTTTATATTCTAGGTTGGGGGTAATATTGGATTATATCTGGGTGTATCTGTTATCACTCTTGTGGATATTCTATTCATTATACTTTATAAACTTGAACATCTTGTCAAAATATTCTGTTCAAGATCATTTAAATAAATATATAATCCAAACAATTTTATTTAACTGACTCTAGGATATAGAGTTTACAATTTAGAATGCATAGCGTAGAGTTTGAAGTGTAGAGTGTACAATGTCGAGTGTATAGTGTAGAGCGAATATTGCAGATTGTAGAGTGTAGAGCACAATGTTCAGTAAAGAGTATAGAATGTAGTGTAGAGCGTATATTGCAGATTGTAGAGTGTAGAGCACAATGTTAAGTGAAGAGTGTAGAATGTAGTGTAGAGCGAATATTGCAGATTGTAGAGTGTAGAGCACAATGTTCAGTGAAGAATATAGAATGTAGTGTAGAGCGTATATTGCAGATTGTAGAGTGTAGAGCACAATGTTCAGTGAAGAGTAAAGAATGTAGTGTAGAGCGTATATTGCAGATTGTAGAGTGTAGAGCACAATGTTCAGTGAAGAATATAGAATATATACTGTGTAGTGTCAACGTACAGGTTTATTCATTAAAGATAAGAGTTTAATAACAACATTAAACTCTTTAAATCTAAAAATAAAGAGTTAAACTTAACCTTAAATAAAGTCTTGAAATGAAATATTAAGAGATTTGGTAAATAAAAGTATCAGTCTACAGCTGTAGAGAAAAGGATTAAATAAGTTCTGTTTGAACTTCTCTTAACCATCATTCCTTGTGGGATGTTCTGTAGTTTCATTGTTTGATTCAAACTATAAACAGTGGTATTTCAGATGCACAGCAGGACTTTTTCAGGGTTCATCTGAATATTCACGCTTGTTCAATCTTTAAAACTGTGTTTTTCTGACAATTGCTCTTTTATTCTGTAAAAATCTTAAGTCACTTTAACAGGGCTAGACACAACGTTAGAACAATTGTCAGGAGGAAAAACAAAGATATCTCAATCAACTTTAATCAGAAAATGTTGAAATGGTAAAAGCCAAAGAAACGGATCGTAAAATAATTCTAGAAATTTAACCATGGGCCCAGAAAGATTCTGCAATATTTATAAATCATTTTTACAAAAAAAAATATATTTTTAGCATTTAAAAATTCCATGAATTAATGAATGTCTTTAAATAATTAACATTTATTAATAAAACTGCACTACAATAAATAACTAAATAATTCATACAATATGTAAAATTGACATGCAAACAAAAATAAGTTTTTTTAGTATAAGGTTTACTTGATAATATTAAATGTGGATAGCATTGAATTTTAAGTTTACAAGTAATCAAAGAGAAGCTCTTTTAATTCACCAGCTTCTCATTCCGTCTATTGACATCTGTTTCATACAGGGTGTCCCACGAAACATGACACAGCAAGACGACTTGAAAGTCGTCTTTGGTATTTGAATTTATTTGTGACATTTAGTCTTCTATCTACTTTAACATGTATGATTCTTGAAACAATTATCACATAATTCTCCTAGCCCTGGCATTTCCAAAAAATGGTCTGCGTTTTTTGTGCTTTCAATATTACCGGAGATATAAAGAGTTTGGTTCAGATTTCAATTTTGTTAAATAAAAGCAAAATTGTCGAAATCTGAACGAAATTCTTCATATCTCGGACAATAATGAAAGCACAAAAAAGGCAGACCACATTTTGGAAATGGCAGGACAAGGGAAATTTTGTGATTATTATCTCCAGAAATTTACTTCTAAAATTAGGTTGACAAATAAACGCAGCAAATTATATCAAAAATCAAGACGACATTCAAGTCGTCCTGCATACTATCATGTTTCATGGGACACCCTGTATATGCTGTTTGACATCTTGATGTAAATCAAAATTGAATTCAAAAGTTATTGATATAATCGCCTCGCACTGTTAAAAGTAGTTTGCATGCATATATAAAAAGAAAACAGGATGTTATCATCAGAAATTACAAATAACAAATTAACAATATTAATAATTGGCAATTATAAATATCAATCTTTACAATATCGTCATTGGGTTGCAAAATGATGCATACACCACGTCAAATTAGAAATCATTATGTAGTTTGCATGCATATGTAAAAAGAAAACAAGAAATTACAAATAACAAATTCACAATATTAATAATTGGCAATTATAAATATCAATCTTAACAATATCGTCATTGGGTTGCAAAATAATGCAAACACCACGTCAAATTGGATTTCATTATGATACAAATTTGGACTCAGAAATTGAGAAATTTTTAGAAAATGTCATTTCAATCATTTTTAACAATTTCAATAATATTTTCTAACCTTAAGTGGTTTAATTGAAAGAAATCTTTTCCAGGTTTTAGGAGAAATATGAAAAAAACATTTTTAAATTTTGTTTAAGTTGAATTAGAGAAAATAATTAGATTTTTGATTTAAAGGTTTTAAAAAGAGGGAAAACATTACGTTCTTGCATTAGAGACTCTTTGAATTCGGTAAAAACTAATCTAAGTTTATAACAATAAAACAATAATGATTTAATCATCATACCACTACATAAATACTTACTAAATAATAAAAATAATATTTTCATGGAGATCTATAACTTACAAATATAATTAAAACAAAAGGTTACAAGCTGAAGAAGTTTTTAAATATTCTTTAAAGTCGTCTAACAATTTTAATTCATCTTGGTAAACCTTTTTTCTTGAAAAGAAATACAGTATTAAGCTGTTTCATTAAAAATGGCAGTATAGAGACAACTTAAAGATCTTGATTTTTATAGCAATGACAAGTTGTATGATTATTAAAAATCCTAGTCACGTGTCCAAATTCTTTCTATGTCAATTCATCAAATAAAGCGAAAATTGATTTTTGTAATGTTTGCAGAAAAGGAAGGTAAACTGCAGTATGGATGGAAAACGTAGGCAGTGAAGCCTATTTTTTAAAATTTACTTAGATCATCATAAACTCAGGTTCATATTAAATACCGTACAGACTTTCAGGCAGCCAGGACAAGTTGTACAGTATGCATACAGACCGTACACGGCAAGACGGGACAGTATGCATACAGACCGTACACGGCAAGACGGGACAGTACAACAAATGAATCATCTCCAACTTGTGAGATTAGAACAATCTTTAGATAATCTCTAGATCAGTGATTAGGATTCGGATCTGTTGGCTCCGCAACATTTTGGCTTCGGATCCAAGGGGCAAAATAATAACCAAAAATTGCAAACAGAAATATTTTGCGGATCCAAGATTCGAATCCGCATAAAAATTAAAGGGATCAAGATTATTATCCTTATTGGGACACTACATGTAAAAGAGCAGGTACACAAGTACATCTATTTAATCACGCTCAATTTGTGATGTTAAAACACAAAATCGGAGGCGCAAAGCGAACTAATTATTTCTTTATCTTCCTTTCTGTCTCTCCTCTTGCTTCTTTTTGATTTGCTCCGCCTTAAAAGATATGTATACAAAACAATTAAATTTCATGTAACCCTCATTGCAAAGACGACAATATCAGATTCACATTGGTTCCCCTAAAATCTTAAATTTTCATCAATCAACTTCTACCTCATCTTTGCTCGGAAAACGGTTTAAAGGGTATCTTTGTCAATAGGACATGTTTTCTACAAATATTAAAACTACGCCCACAGTCCCTTTAATGATGCAAAAGAGTTTTTATTCACCTGTCTTTTTTCTTTTGAAGTCGGTTCATACGGTTTCCACTTCAGAAATGCCCCGTTTATTTCCTTATCTCGGGGTCGTCTTCGAATTCTAAAACACATGGTAATAAGTAATAAGTAATAAGTAATAAGTAATACGTAATAAGTAATAAGTAATAAGTAATAAGTAATACGTAGTAAGTAATAAGTAGTAAGTAATAAGTAATAAGTAATAAGTAATAAGTAATAAGTAATAAGTAATAAGTAATAAGTAATAAGTAATAAGTAATAAGTAATAAGTAATAAGTAAAAGCTGTAATAGGCATAAGTGGGACTGGGAACGTTTAGATTTTTAATAACTGTTTGTTATCAGTTTTAAAAATCATTTAAACTACAACTTTTCGAGAAGCCCTTGGTTCTTAGGTTAAAAACTGAACGTTTTCAACAGCGCTAACCGATGATATGTTATAAATTTGAAATGTTGCCAGCCATTTTCAATCAAGACAAAGATGTCTTAAAAAAGGTGATTGCTGTCCAGGTTATCCAGATAAAAATAAATACAGTTTGTGTGTTAAAATGTAAAGATAATAGAGAATTTATAAATATTTTTAAGGCTTATCATCTTGTTTAGTTTGAATTTAAAAACATAGAAAGATGGATACTACAACCACAGTATTTGCAATAGTAACTCTAGTGATAATGATACTACTGTCTTTAAATCTGGCAAGTGTTTACATGATGTATAGAGTCCACACTAATACCAGCCAAGATATTATTAAGAAGGAGATTGATATCAAGTTGATGCAAATAAAAGTTGCTGAAGGAGAACTTGAAACAGTCAGACTGAAAGCCCAGAGAAGGATCAAAGACAGCATCAATGATGAGCTTGCGAGCCAGGGACCAAATCTAATGATGTTAAGCTAGGTCCCTGAACAACCTTTACCGGCTCATAGTTAAAGATTTTTTAGGATTTAAATTAGTGATTCATGAATTGAAACCTTGATAGGTAGTTCAACGGCCCCGCCATTTCATTAAATTTGGTCCCAGCTCAAAATCCGAGATGAAACCATTATCAGTTTGACAAGACAGGCAGAATTACAGGACAGAAATGTACTGGATTTAAAAGAGAAGATGAATGCTAAGATAAACTTGATTAATGTTCTTACTGAATGTAAGAAAGAGAAAGTTAAAATTATAAACAGTTTGACCTCCGAGGTAGAATTACAGAACAAAAATTATGACGACCTTAAAGAGGAAGTGACCTCTAAGAAAACCATGATTGAAGAACTTAGAAAGGAGAGTGAACAAAGGAGATTTTTATTTTTAGAATTATTTAAAAATCTTGAGTTCAAAGTATTAAATCCAGTGTGTCCCGAATATATTTTGTGTGGGAAGAAGTTAAGCTTGGAAGAGATGCCCCAACACTTTGATGAATGTGACAATCTAAGGCAGTGCTCAGGATCAATATAATTTTGATCTGTGGATCCTTGATCCAGGTCATTAACATTTCTTCAAGATTTACTGATTTTTTAAACAAAAGAAGAATTTTCAAATTATTGTTCTTTTTATTTGCTTTTTCTAATGTTTAACTTGATGAACCATTCAGAGATAAGGAAATTTTTAATAACCTCACTTTTTTCAACCGTTCAGACTTTGGTTTTCAGGGCAAAAATTTTTTTTATTACAGTTTTTGGTTGATATTTTGCCCCTTAGTCCGGATCAGGGCTCCGCATGTTTTAAAAGAGCTGAATCAGATTCCGAATCCTAAGCACTGATCTAAGGTATCTGGAGTGCCAGCATCATCTTGAACTGAATACTATTGTGGAAGAATCATGGTATAAACCCAACTTCAGCCAAAATAATAAGCCTGCAGTCTACAAGATGTCAGAGTCTAGGGACTGGATAGTTCTGCAAGGAAGATGCTCAGGAAGTTTGTTTATATTCTTCTTCATGCATCACTCTGAAGAATTGATGAAGAAAAGAAGATTTGTCGTAACTCTGAACATTCATGGGGAACAGAATATACAAGAAGGAATTATATCTCAAGGAATAAGTAAAGTCCTGAGATGTGCTTCTATAGGGATAGGACTTGAGGATGCCTTCAAACAGAATTATACTTTCAGCATCAACCATGGAGACATGGAAAAGATATGTGCCAGACAACATACCAGAGGAGTGCCTTCAAAGAAATATAAGCTATTTGTGAGATTTTCTGTCATGGAAATTTAGTGTATTAGAACTCTGTGTAACAAACAATACAATTACAATGCAATAAGTTAAAATATTTTGAAACCGTTCCAAATTTCAGATTAACCAGCTCCCAGGATTAGATCCAATTTTTCATAAAATTGTTACCAATCTGATATTTGAGAGAAAAAAAAAAAACATTTCTTTGGAAAACTAAAAACCCCACAAACACTGGAGTTAATAATTTTTTCCTTATTATTTTTTTTCCCAAACATGATAAATACATGTCCAAAACCAAACCATTGTTTGTTCCACCCAAGAAATTTAATAGTTTATGTAAACCAAGGCATTTTATAAATTCATCTTTTTCGGAAGAAGAAGTTTCATGTACAGCTTTATATTCAGAATACATTGATCAAATAATCTTTGAAGTTCTTTCTTCTAAAGCAATGGAATTTTTGCAAAATAAATTGTTTTAATGCAAAAAAATTATTTAGAAAAAAGCATAAATTTCAATTTATATTTAAATGTTGCATATAAATATGTGCATTCCCAAGAATATTATCCTTCCAACCTACATCTCTCTCCCGACCCACTTCTCCCTCCCAAATAATAATTCTTCCCTCCCTACTCCCCCCCCTAACCAACCTTTCCCTCCCGCCCAACATGCCTATCCTTCCCAATCTATTTTCTTTTACCCTTCAAACCACTCCCTTTCTTCCCTCCAAATATATTCTATGAATCTCACAACTTAACTCTCCTCTCCTCCCAACCTACCTCTCCATGTACTTGTTGATAACATCCACCTTCTTTAGGATAATATGCTCCTCCATCCAGTACTTAACCATCCCTCCCCTCTCCTCCCAACCTACCTCTCCATGTACTTTTTGATAACGTCCACCTTCTTTAGGATACTATGCTTCTCCCTCCAGTACTTAACCATCCCCCCCTCTCCTCCCAACCTATCTCTCCAAGTACTCGTTGATAACGTCCACCTTCTTCAGGATAATATGCTTCTCCCTCCAGTACTTAACCATCCCCCCCTCTCCTCCAACCTACCTCTCCAAGTACTCATTGATAACGTCCTCCTTCTTCAGGATAATATGCTTCTCCCTCCAGTACTTAACCATCCCTCCCCTCCCAACCTACCTCTCCAAGTACTCGTTGATAACGTCCACCTTCTTTAGGATAATATGCTTCTCCCTCCAGTACTTAAATATCCTCCCAACCTACCTCTCCAAGTACTCGTTGATAACGTCCTCCTTCTTCAGGATAATATGCTTCCCTCTCCAGTATTTTATCATCCCCAGGAACTGCAGAGTAGAGATGATGTCGTAGCTCTGTATACCTAAATATTTATGATTAAAGGGAGTGCTCATAAGATAAATGAGAATCCAAAAAAAAACGGGTAATAAAGTTATTTTATTCTTTTTTGTTCCGGAAAAATGTTTACTTTTCCCATTTTGTTTTCGGAAAATTTTTCCGCATTCTTCCGAGTTTCTTCTAATTTCTTTTTTAGCAAAGTACACTTAAATAAAATAGGACAATGTTTTCATAGTTAAGACAAACAACAAGTTTGTTAGAAAAATTAATGAAAAAGGACCAAACTTAGAATTTCAGAAGAAAGGAAACCGAATGCTTCTTAAAATTGACAATAACAGATTTTCTATCAAAACAAATTATAGTTGAACATAACATCGGTTGTTTAAAATTTTGCATTGACTTGCTTAAAAATAAAATGTTGCTGGGCAAATAAGATTTTTTTTTTCAAAAAGGGGCTATGATGGTGGATTCGGAAGTAAATGTGAAGGAAAAAATTTAGTCGTTTTTTTATCTATAATAGAATAGAGTTCTATTAAATTAATTTTATTCATTGTTTTAAAAGCAAAAGTCTGCAAGTCGCTCTCAAAAAGAAACAACAAAAAAATAATAAAATTTCGCATAAATAGTAAATTTCAGACAAAAGTTTACCAACATAAACTCTTCTTTTGTGTGAAAAATATAATAACGTACTTCAACCTTTTTTTAAAAATTCAAAATGATTTGGTTTTGATTAAAATCAACGGAACAAAGGAACACGTCTGGAAAAAACAAATGAAAAGAGGACAGGGTTGAGAACTAATTTCTGGTAAAAAACAAGACCACGTGAAGATTGAATATTTAAAGCACATGGAAAAACATGCCTCCTTCATTGTAAAAATACACTTTAAAGGGACTGTAAGTGTAATTTCATGTGACCCTCAATGCAAAGAGGGTAATGCCCGATTCACAACAACGGTACCCTTAAAACCTTTGTGTGTTCTTCCAGTACAAAAACATATGTGTGTGTAAACTTGGCTTGTATTTAGCTGCATACAGTCTGAACTTAACACAGCGTACACAGGAATGTATAGCTGAATACAAGCGGGTTTCGATATGTTTAAACAGACATACCTCTGTACTGGAAGGTTTTATATGTACCTTTGTAAATTATGTAAGGAAAATTATAATTCAAGACGACATTTAATCGAAAATCAGACAATAATTAAACGATAATTACATGAAAATTAGACAAAAATTGAAGGAATATAAGACAAAAGTTAGACAAGAATTACATTAGATATAGACAAAAATTTAAAATTAGACGATAATTAGATAAGTAGACGAAAATTAGACGATCGAGTGATAGACAAAAATTAGACAAAGATTAGCCACGTATTATACGAGAATTAGAAAAAAATTAGCCGAAAAAAATTCGTAAATTAAGACAAAATTTGAGTCTTAGAACAAAAAGACGAGAATTAGACAAAATTATTTGTAACAAAAAACTACAAAGTACTCACCCATTTCTTCACTGATGGATTTTATGCTGACCTCACGCTCAGATACATACCAGGAATCCCGGGTTAGATAATCCAATAGAATATCCTGAAATAAAGAGACTGGAGTAGAACATCCTGAACAACCATGCTTGAGCCGCGTCTCAAATTTGAGAGGCTGCTCAAATTCTTTAAATTCGGTCTCAGGTATATTTGTTTTCGTTAAGTCAAGTCAAATCAAACCAAACCAAACCAAACCAAACCAAACTAGACTTCTAGGGATGTTTTACTTCCACAATACCATCCCTTGTGAATGTACTAAATTAGAATGAATTAAGGGTTTACAATTTGCACTGATTTCACTTTTTTACTTTTGGAAAAATATTACTCGGAAATCATAATTTTTTTTACTCCATTTTTTAGATAAGCTCCTACCTTCCAGTATGCCCTGTAAGAGAGGAGACCTAGGTCGGAGAGTGGTTTTTCAGGACTTCCAATCTTACCCTCCATCCTGCATAAATCAATCAAACAATCGATCAATCAATCAATGAACCAACCTTTAACATCGATAAAAAGATGTTCAATGACGCGATGCATAATAATCAAGGGACTGTCAGCGTAAGTTCAAATGATCCTCCATACAAAGATGACAATACCTGATTTACAAAGAGTTCCCCTATACGTTTTGTCTGATCAAGTATGAATTAGATATCCATATTTTTCTTTCTTTAAACTGTTTATTTTCATTCACGGTTTCACGGGTGACTTGCACATTTCTTGCTTATAAGATCAAATTTAAGTTTCAAGAGAATCGATAAAAATCGAGTATTGCCATAATTGCATGGAGGGTCACTTGAAATTACGCTTATAGTCCCTTTAAGCTGCCGTCTTACCAAACAGACATCATTGAATACGTTAATATATAAATTGCTCAATGTTCATTATTATATTTAACAGTTCTTGTAAAATTGAAACTTTCCATGCATGAGTCAAAGGAACATCCAAATATTTGGATTGTTTCTTTTTACTTAAATCAGACATTTGCATTATACACAACACAATTTTCTTTTCTGTTGCATCATTGTTTAAAAATGGCAACTTGAAAACTAAATCTAAATCTGAAAATAATACAAAAATGGATGAGAAGTGTCCTGGAAGCTCAGTAATATAATGTTACCTAACGAAACATAAAAGTACTATTATTAAGAAATGCGCTGTTTAACATAACGCTACCCAATTCATGAAAAGCCAAGTATAAAATTTTAAAAAGATTAATTTAAAATTTGAGAAACAAAAGAATTTAAACAATAAACCTAACTCCTGGTATAAATTATCTTAATTTTCAGAAATTTAACAAGAATGCATGCTTGAATTTCACTTCATTATTTAAAGGGACTTTAAGCGTGATTTTATTTGACCCTCCAAGCAAAGATGTCACTGCCCGTTTCACAAGTGTACCCTTCAAAGCTGGGTCTGGTATCAAATAGATATGTACAATTTTAAAAACTGATTATTTACAATTGTAGTGTCTCTACTAATGTAACGCATTTCTAATGCAGAAAAACATAAAATATACCTTCCACATTATTAATCAGCTAAAAGTTTCAAGGGTACCGTTGTGAATCGGGCATGGTCAATGGTCATCTTTGCATGGAGACTGGAGAGTCCTGGGTCAATCAAAATTACGCTTTCAGTCCCTTTATTCTTCGGTCCCTTTATTTTTTGGTCCCTTTATTCATCGGTCCCTTTATTCTTTGGTCCCTTTATTCTTTGGTCCCTTTATTCTTCGGTCCCTTTATTCTTTGGTCCCTTTATTCTTCGGTCCTTTTATTCTTCGGTCCCTTTATTCTTCGGTCCCTTTTTTCTTTGGTCCCTTTATTCTTCGGTCCCTTTATTCTTCGGTCCCTTTATTCTTTGGACCCTTGGTCCCTTTATTCTTCGGTCCCTTTATTCTTTGGTCCCTTTATTCTTTGGTCCCTTTATTCTTCGGTCCCATTATTCTTTGGTCCCTTTATTCTTCGGTCCCTTTATTCTTTGGTCCATTTATTCTTTGGTCCCTTTATTCTTCGGTCCCTTTATTCTTCGGTCCCTTTATTCTTTGGTCCCTTTATTCTTTGGTCCTTTTATTCTTGTGTCCTTTTTTTCTTTGGTCCCTTTATTCTTAGGTCCCTTTATTCTTTGGTCCCTTTATTCTTTGGTCCCTTTTTTCTTTGGTCCCTTTATTCTTCGGTCCCTTTATTCTTCGGTCCCCTAATTCTTTGGTCCCTTTATTCTTTGGTCCCTTTATTCTTCGGTCCCTTTATTCTTCGGTCCCTTTATTCTTCTGTCCTCCTTGATTATTTTATTATAATTTATTCATCTAAACGCTTAAATCTTCAAAACTGCTGTATAACGCTGTATTGTTATTAAAATGTGTTGATTAAAAAATTAATAAAGAAGTATTCATCTTATCTATTATAAAATAATTATTGGGAGAGGGGGGGGGGGGGGGATAAAAATGGCGCTGATTTTTAAATTTTCTCTGGAAGAAAAACTATTTGTTTTTGTAAATTAACAAAATTTAAAATCAAGGGAATTTATTTTCTAACCCGTTGCTAAAAAAAAATTGTCGCAGCAAAATTTTTACAAATTCATACAAAAAACATAGTAATTTTGTTGACAGGTATAAAGTTTTTCAAGTGTTGTAAGAAAAATTTAAAAACAAAACAAAATACACTTTTCTGTACATTTATTGAATATATATCATCCTAGATATTTTGGGAAATCCGACCTCCATTTTTCCAAGTTACTTAACAAATTATTTACGGTTCTTCTTGAGAAATAAGTATTGTTAGAAGTTTAGTAAGCTCTAAGCGGATACTTATCTTTCTCAAATCTGACAAACTTCAAATTACTTAAAAATAATATTTTTTTACGAGGATAAAAGAAATAAATTGAAAATTTGACACAAACAGTAAAAATGAATTTGAAGTTTAAAATCAAAGATTTAGACATCAGGTTACAAAATAATAAATATTAAAAACAGCGAATTAGGCGAGTAATGAATTCTGTATGTATAGAGTAAAATCTGTTAAAATTGAACTGCTTCCTCCTCAAAACTTCCGCAAAATATGGTATGAAAAAAAACTTTAAAACTTTCGACTATTGATCTTATTTCGAATTTTTAAACAGAATTTAATTGAAGATATATATCATCAGAACCAATGTTTAAACTCGAACACATGTTATGTTTGCAAAAAAAAAATCGAAGAAAGCAAAGATTTTTGTTTGGAAGTTTTGAAATAAGTCTTCTGAAGCACTTAATTTTGTATGTTTTTGTAGTATTTCATAAATAAATAATTACTAACTAAATTTGAAAGTTTTGCTTTTATGTCCGAAAACTTTTTTTTTCTTAATTGTGCATTGTTTTTATTCTCATTGCAGCTTTATACAACAGAGACAAAGAATAAAATTAGAATAATTCAACAATTACGGTTGAACATTTACTAATATTTGCTCAGATTAAGGGAAGCAAATATACAACTCCACAAACTAAAGGTCACTTGAAATCGGTGTGAATCGGGCAATATCATCTTTACTTGATGGCCACTTGAAATTATAGGGTGTGGCACGCCTGCCCTGCAGGTTTTTGCGCGGCACAACTGCCGCCATTCCTTCCCGCAGTCATGCTGCGCCACAACCTGCTTGAGCGCAAGCGCGCAAAGAGGATTTTAAAGTTCGATTTTGTACTCTAACTTTGCAATTATACACCAAATGTCTTCTAGGTCTCAAAACATTTCTAATAGAAATTCCCTACAATTCTGCACTCTCATCTCAACTACCATGTGTAGCCAGACACTCCCTTTAAACATAAGATTTTTACTTACTTTGACAGCAAATATGAGAAATCTATCAGAAGTCGCCCGAACCCTTGTCTAAATAAAAATATTTCATAGAAAACTGAAATTTTAATTTTATAATTAATCATAATTCCACAACCGAACTTCAGGTTGTTGCCAAAAAATTTAAGATTTTAATCATTCATAAACCCCTTAACCGATTTGCTTTAAATTCTGATGGAGGAACTCGCGGAACCACGGGAATGTTTTAGCTTGGTTTTAAAATTCAATGTTGAGTGGGTTGACTTGTACAGGAAAACAAAAATAAAATCATAATTTACGACCAAGCACGGTGGTTCTCAATATATACATAATACATACATAAATTACCTTTGATATGGGGGTAGAGTAAGTATACAGGAAACATTATAGTTTAACACACTATTCTTCTCCTTACTAAAGTATCCCACTATATGACAACCTGAAATAAAGCCGAATGATTATTTTCAATTGCGTCTTCTCTATAACAATGACTTGCAGCGTCTTGCTACACACGGGCAGCCGTAGTACATTTGAATTTCCGAGCCGGGTCAACCTAGGTCCCAGTTTGTACTGTATCGCCCGAACATTGTGTTAATAAAGCAGACACTCAATATGACTAGCCGGTGCAAAAAGGTTGACGCGGTCAGACTTAAGGTTTAATTTACTTTTACTAAAGGGGCAGAGGTGCGTGTAAAGAAACTATGGAATAAATTTTGAAAATTAAACCTTTTTCAAGCTAGAAAACCCGCATATATTATTCATCCGAGAATCTGACGTACTCTTAAAATTTAAAATTTAGAGAAAAATATGAGTACATCTTTTCATGAATTATTGAAACCTTTATCTATTTCTGAAGAAAACAGAAATTTATTTTACCAACAAATTATTTTCATTTTCGTGGAATAATTCTTATAAATTGTATTCATACTCTAATAAAGGCACAATTAAAGTTCACAAAACATCATTATATAACATAAACGTAACATATAAACGTTACATAAACGTAACATATAAACGTAACATTTAAACGTAACATATAAATGTTACATTAACGTAAAATATAAACATTACATAAACGTTATATAAATGTAACATATAAATGTTACATAAACGTAACATATAAAAGTTACATAAACGTAACATATAAACATTACGTAAACATAAAATATAAACATTACGTAAACGTAACATATAAACGTTACATAAATTTTACACTAATGATGGACACCGTTTTAGTTTGTTTTTTTCTATAGTTTTACGGGGGTTGGATTAAAATAAAAATACAGAGCAAATAATTGAACTTTAGTAGTTGGAACATTTTAAAACCTTGTTATCAAACGGTTGTTCTGAAAGAAAAATAAAAGGAAAAAACGAGCAAAATAAATTTTGGAATTTGTACAACTTCTCAGATTTTGATAGAACCTAAAAAATTCAAAAACCTTAAAAGTTTACAACAAACCAAGTTAAAGTTCAACTGAAAATTTAGAATTATAAAACTGATAAATGAATTTAGATAACTTATTTCCAATATATAAAAAATATTTATTTTCTCCACAATGACAATTTATTCAAGGTGTTTGCATGGCTTAAATACTGAAAATTAATAATTTAGAAAAAAATGTTGGCTTAAAAGTATTAGAGGCTAAATGGAACATGCCAGTAGTAGTCAATTCCCCCCCTCCTTTATCTTCAGGGGGAGGGAGGGGGGAATGTAAATTGTAGATCTCAAGACGATATGAATAGTCAAAACCATGGTAATAATTCTTTTCTAAGATTTCGAGAAGAGGGTGGGGAAGGAGGGGAGAGTGGGGACAGACCAAATAATATAAATATAGATAGTCCTGTTTTTCTAAACCAATCCTGGAACTCTTAAGCGAATTACTTAAATTAATTAGTCTGGTAATTAAGACAATAATTAACTAATTACCTTCCGAGTCTGCTGTTGTCATCACATAGAAGAGGAATGGTTCTACGTCGTAATATAAAGTTTTATGGTCCAGGAAACTTTTAGCAATAAGGCAGAGATTTTGGCAATATTGCTTATACTTCTTCCCGCATACCTAGACACAAAATATGAAGATTTTAGTAATTAGGCAGAGATTTTGGCAATATTGCTTATACTTCTTCCCGCATACCTAGACACAAGATAAGAAAGATTTATAATGAAGGATGAATACAAGGGATTTTGGCAATATTGCTTATACTTCTTCGCATACCTAGACACAAAATATGAAGGATATAGAATGAAGGATGAATACAGGGGATTTTGGCAATATTGCTTATACTTCTTCGCATACCTAGACACAAAATATGAAGGATATAGGATGAAGGATGAATACAGAGGGTTTTTGACAATATTGCTTATACTTCTTCCCGCATACCTAGACACAAGATAAGAGAGATATATAATGAAGGATGAATACAAGGGATTTTGGCAATATTGCTTATACTTCTTCGCATACCTAGACACAAAATATGAAGGATATATAATGAAGGATGAATACAGGGGATTTTGACAATATTGAAATGGATAGGTTATACTTTCGTAGTTGGCAATAAAAGAATCCTTCATTGTCAGCCTGTGGATAGGTTACTGCAATACATATACATCCCAGTTCTATTTTGAATTAAGAATCTGGTAAATTATTGATCTAATGAACCGGGCATTTATGAACTAATATCAGGCAAAAGTACATAAAATGATCATCCTAGGTTTGAGGTTAACGCAGAAAAATGTACAATGAAGATTCTATGATCTAGGATATAGTATTATGGATGCAGGATCTAAAATATAGGATCTAGAATGTAGGATGAAAGATCTTATATATAGGATGTATGATTAAAGGGATTTAGGATGAAGGATGTAGGATGAAGATTAAGAATGTAGGATTAAGATATATGATGTGTGATGAAGGATGAAGATCTTAGAAAACTGATGAAGGAAGTAGAATCTTAGATATGGGATGTAGGATAAAAGTTCCAGCAAGTAGAATGTAGTATCTCGTATGAAAGATCTGGGATGTAGGATCTAGACTGTAGGAGGATGAAGGATCCAAAATTATAGGATGTAGTTCGGCAGGATGAATGATCTAGGATCTGGGATGTATGATTGCAAAATTCTTAAATTAAAGAATATATCTCAGACAAACCCCAAATTCAACCTTAAACTCGAAGTGTCTTTACAGTCTCGTCTTCTGTAGGAAACCCTGTAGATCATCATTTCATTTTAATTGGGATCTTGATCTCATTATCTACTGTGATCACTTTTGATCTGAGGCTCTATAAAAACTATACCTTTAATTCCCTATCTTCAATATAGTTAATCATCCCTAATCAAAGCTTCCTCCAACCCCTGACTGGGTATGATTACCATGCGGGATATCATGAGCTTAAACTATAGGGTGTCCCACATCAAATTAGATCGCGTCAATGGGTCTAAATTACGATTTGGGGGACAAATCAGAAAATTTAAGAAAAATGAATAATTTTGAAAATTTAATAAGGCTAATAGAATTTTTTTTTGGGCAGAAAATGCTAGATTTTTCGAGTAATTATGTGCGTATTTAGGTGTTAAAGATTGGAGATAATCTAATATGATATGGAACGCTCTGTAGTATGCAGATTAACTAAAGATTGAGAATTAGCATCGATGAGTTCCCAGATCTTGGTAAAATTACCTCAAAAACTGATAATTTGTCTTTCCTATATATTTCATCACCAGGGGGATGTTTCCAAACACACTTAGCAGAATGCCGTTGCATCACACTAAAATATACAATATTGTTATATTGAGAATTTTGTTCAATAACTGTTGGAATTCTTCTTTGCTTTAAATGCAGGTATTCAATATCTAACAAAATCAAAACGATGACATCAGCATATAAAAATAGGATTTATTTCTAAAAAAGTGTGTGCCTCACAGATGCGTTTTTTGTGTGTGTATTTGATATGCCAGAAGAGTCACCTAATTTTATTCAGATTATTTCGAGGATTTGAGAAATTAGGCGAGAAGTAGTGATGGGCATCAATTATGCAGACAAACAAAATTTGTTGGTGAACGATGGTGTCAAAAAATTAACAAACGTTAAACGAACAAATTGGATCGTTCAAAGAAACAAAAAATAAAAAAACTAGTTTTTAAAAACGACCGACTTTTTTTCAAATGAACATAAGAAAATGCAATTGTTTTATTATTGAACGAAAGGTTTGACTGACAAACGATTTAGGTAAAAGATGGTCCACTAAAGTAATAGATGGAAAATCATTTTTTTACAACGACTGAAAAAAAGAACGAAATGGGTCGTTAACTGACGATGAACGAACGAATTTAATGAACATGTCCATCTCTTGAGGCAAGAAGAGTACTTCTTTTCGGTAACTAACTAATTAGATTCTCGTTTTTCCAGGGTTAAAATTACTTTGGTAGAGGACCTACTATTGCAAATACCAAGTTTTCAAACTGTAGATAGTAATACGGATCCAGGTAGTTCAAATGGATGCAATGGATTTTGAATTCTTGCTAGTTTGCTAGTCACTCCCTTTACACGTAGGTATAAATATTTTTATAATGATTATCAAATCTATATAATAAAACAAGACATTCATATATATTATAATGTTGTCCATAGCCGGCCAAACTGCTGGACCGATTGGGCTGATATTGTTTATGGACACTCATGGGTAGCCGGGGGGGTGCTGAAGGCTAAAAAAATTCGAAATATTTTAAAATTTTTCAGCTAGTAATTAATAAACTATTAATACGTTTGTACCTATAAGCCTTCATATACTTCAGACAGAATTCACAAATGTAGATTTTGGGGAGAACTGTGTATTCGTCCGGGTAGGGACTCTGATACCAGACCTATCAAATATAAAGTAGATTTACATCACATTTCTATATTTTATGTTTTCTGTTTGGGTGTATGTCAGTTCATAACTCATGAACCAATTGACCGAGTTGCATGTGTTTACCTTGGTTTAAAAATTCTAAACTGAGTGATTTGTCAAGAAGGTTTATTTTCAAGGTAAGACGCTCATACAATACGTACAGTGCTTGACCGAGTTGCATGTGTTTACCATGGTTTAAAAATTCTAAACTGAGTGATTTGTCAAGAAGGTTTATTTTCAAGGTAAGACTGGGCGCTCATACAATACCAGTGCTTGTGACCGAGTTGCATGTGTTTACCTTGGTTTAAAAATTCTAAACTGAGTGATTTGTCAATAAGGTTTATTTTCAAGGTAAGACTGGGCGCTCATACAATACGTACAGTGCAGCACACTAAGTAAGAGATAACTGATTTTAAATTTTCTTTTAAAATTCATCGTTTTCTCCAGAGCTGTACCCTGTTAATTTCATTATTTAGTTGCTGCACAAATTACTTGTTTTTGTTTTACTTCCCAAAATATGCGAAGGCCTAGAATTTCTTCTGGAATCTTGGGGCTAAGGTATTCCAACCATCGTACACTTAAGATTCCTCTCAGATTGTTCTGCAAACCTACTCAACTAGCATTGATGATACAAAACCTCAAAAATTTAAATATTTAACTTCTCAGGATTATATGTTGACTTCATAAATGAAAAAATTAACAATTTAATCCTGTTAAAGATTGGTTTTTCTTATGCAAGTTGCTTATTTCTAAATCAAGAACTAACAGAAAATAACTTTTAATAATTTCAAATTACAAAAATCAAAATTAGCGAAAACCCTGTTAAACACTTTCAATATTACGAAATAAAGAAAAATCTTGATATAGCCAACTAGCCGCCTTTAAGAGTATGATGTAAATGAGCACCTGCTCCAATACTTTAATCAAACAGTTGGTAACCCTAATAACTTCTTTTTTAACTGCAAGAGATTATATTTAACAAGTTCAGTACGATTTGCCAATCCTTTACCACTTACCCCCATTGACAATATCTTTACCAACTACATCCATTAACCATCTATTTACCACCTACCTCCATTAACCATCTATTTACCACATATACCTCCATAAACAATACCCTTTACCACTTACCTCCATTAACAATTTCTGTACTATCTACCTCCATTGACAATCTCTTTACCACCTACATCCATTAACAATTTCTTTACCACCTACCTCCATTAACAATTCCTCTACCACCTACTTTCATTAACAATCCCTATACCACTTACTTCTATTAAAAATCCCTTTACCACCTACCCCCATTAACAATCCCTTTACCACCTACCTTAATTGACAATCTCTTTACCACCTACCTCCATTAACTATTCTTTTACCATCTACCTCCATTAACAATCCTTTTACCACCTACCTCAATTTACAATCCCTTTACCACCTACCTCCATTAAGAATCTCTTTACCATCTACCTCCATTAAACCTTACCTCCATTTGGAATCGTCCCATCTCTATATACTTGGTTCCCTTGACGTCTGGTAACCCCTTCAGCTGTTCTTCAATTTTCTTAACAAACAGAAGAATATGCATGACGAAGAAATATATCAAGATGAATTCTGGATTGTTTAAAGGGACTCTAAGCATTTTTCAAGCGACCTTTCTCCACATTAATGACTAGCAGAAAGTTTAAAAGGTACCGATGTGAATCGGACATACTATAAATGGACGGTCACTTACAATAGAAAAAGAAAAATTAAAAATAATAAAATTATAAAAATCAAGATGGCCGACCTCACTGGCTTGAGCCTGTGCTTCTCGGAATAGTGCGAGGTCAAACTCCGAGGTTAGCCCTTCAAGAGGCCGTTCTCTCTCCGTGATCGGAACGTCCTCATCCTCGTCCTCGTCCTGGGACATCCACTCGTCCTTTACCTTCCGCTCCTCCATCACACGCTCATAATATCTAAACAAGAATTTGTTTCTCAAGAAGTGAATAGGCATATTAAAAAAATGTTATTTGACGCCTACATCTCCAATTAACCCTCTAAAAGTTAATATAAATATTGTATATTTTTGTACATGCTTAATCTTTTTCCGTTTAACGTACTAAACTTGAAAACTGCAAAAATCCATTAATTTGTTACTTTGCACCTCTGTTTCTCTAAATTTAACTAGAAATATCTGAGTTATTGTATACTTTCAAAAATTAGTATTATTCATTATATTGTAAACATATCAAAAATAATTAGGTGGAGATACTACCCAAACAGCGAAAGCTAATCTCTTGATTGCTATAACACATACATTAAATATAGTAACAATATATAAATAGCATTTTGCCTTAATATTATAACCTTAGTGCATTTTCAGCAAAAACCTATGTCTTTGTTGACCATAAACCTATCTTCTAACCCCGCCCTCACGCAATGTCGTCTTAACCAGCCTCAAATCCAAACCAAACAATTTCTCTGACTCTACCTCTCTACCCTGGTAAAGAAAAATCGAAACAGTGAAATGTTTTACTAGTGAAAGACCAAATCCATAAATTACTTTGCAATCCATAGTAAATTCCACTTGAACAACCGGGTTTATATATTTTCAGAAGTGTTTACAAATGTTTTTAACTATTCCATCAAACCCTCAGATCCTTAATCACTCCTTTTTACTCCAACACGAAATACTGGTAAGTTATTAATATATAATTAATATAATAATAAGTTGAAAATTAAATATTCAACTAAAGTAATTCATTGTAATTTATTTTTGTTAACATTGTCATTTAATTTTTATTGCAGGTTTGAAATATATCAGTTTACGTGTATGTTTGCAACTATCTGTGTCCTGAGTTGGGGAGATTAGTCAACAAGCCTACCTATCAAGTAATCAACCAGACTCTCAGTCTATCATTACCGACGCCTGCCTATTGTTTTACAATCTTATCTTAATGATACTCTTTCTGACACTGATAATTTTTCTCCCTTATATCTCCAGCCTTACAAATTTGATATTTTTATTTAACTAATAGCATGCGAATTTCAATTTAAAAGGACTGTTAGGGTATTTTCAAATGATCCTCCATTCAAAGATGACAATGCCAGATTTACAAAGGTACCCTTGAAACCTTGTTTTCTGATTTAAAGATTTGGAAGATGTCGTTGTTTTTCTAAATCATTAAAGTCTTAATATCTGTGAGCTTCTCCATTGCTTCTTACACACAAGAAAGGAAAAATTCCTCTCACTTTTAAATCGCAAATGCAAATGAACAGTTTTAAGAAACATAAACATTGATTTATAATTCATAGCTTTTGAGGACATCGTTGTGAATTGGTTATGGCTTTCTTTGCATTGAGGGTCACTTGAAATTACGCTTACAGTCCCTTTAACAAAGGAATAGATTACTCACCTCATACTCTTATATTCTCTTTCTATATCTTTATTCTATTCTGTAAACCCAAACTTTAATAATTTAAGACAATTTTTTTGAAATTTTAATCGGTTAAATTCTTATAAGGATTCACATTTGAGGTTCTGTTCAGTCACTTTACACCTTTTTAGATACAAACAGAGAGCAGGACAGAAAAGGCAGAAATATTTTTAAAATGCAAAAATACTTATTATTGAAGATTCTAGATCTAGTATGTTACCTTTTCTGATCTGCATTGGGGGAAAGAAGAGGCGATCTGGAGGCGTTTAATAGTAGAGCTTTCTTACGAGCTGAACATTTCTTTTGATATTCTTTCATCTTCTCCCTTAGAAATATATTATTATCTAGTTTACCTGTTTTCAGTTCCATAAATAAAATAGCAGTAAACAGAGACAGTATTAAAGTGTTAAGAATTAAATGTTTAAAAAAAATATTTTTTTCTTTTGAAAACAATTATTTTGCATCAGATTAATACCGAATGTTCAAACTTGTTTAAAATTGGCCACAAGAATGATAGAAAGTTCTAGTTTACACTATTGGATTAGACATTTTTAGAAGATATAACAAAATGTCAAAATCGTTAATATTGGTTTAAAGTTGAGTCTCTACCTTATACTTATTTTGGAATTGCCTGAAAGAGTATCAGAGAAAATAGAAGAAAACCTTAATATGTTTTAGATTTCCTAGCTGTAACTTTTTTGGCGATATTTTAATGAAATTGAAATTATTTTTTATAAGACTTAATCTCATTTTAAATTGATCAGAAGAGTTTAATTTTGATCAGAAGAATTTAGAACCTTATCTCAATTTTCGACACCAGAAAGTATTAGAAAAACTTTCGTAGGTTGACCGTATCTTTTGTTTGGTGATGAAATCGTCTTTTTTTCTGACCTTACTTAATTTGACATAATTGAAAATATTTTTTAACATAGATTTTTATCAGAAGAGGTTTTGGGCCCTTTTTGGACCTTTTCTCAATATTCGATTTTTCCAGGACTATTTTTCTGAGTAAGATTTGATTTTTTTGGAATCGGATTCTAATACCCCATTATACAACCGTTTTTCAGTTACAAAAATTCGACCTTATGGGTCGATCCGTAGCAAGGTGAATGGTGGCACTGCATGTATTTTACTTCAAGACATCAAAATATATTAAAAAAATAATAACAGACTACTTTTTGATGTCAAACATTGTGTTACAAATTGTTAAAGCCATGGGGATGAACTGGGTGTCGTTTCCTGTAGAGTGGCCTTTTTGACACAGATGGTCGTTTGCTGCAAAGACGATTATAGAAATACCACGCGGGGAACCACGGGAACAAATTTTAATTGAACTGACCTGCAAAGCAGCTCTGTAGTATTATGGTAGGTGGGACAACTATCATGGGTAAAATGTCTTTCAAGCTTTCCTGCAATATAATATAGGTTAACCTTGAGTTGAGTCGAGTCGAGTCTCAAGTCAAGTCTCAAGTCAAGTCTCAAGTCAAGTCTCAAGTCAAGTCTCAAGTCAAGTCTCAAGTCAAGTCTCAAGTCAAGTCTCAAGTCAAGTCTCAAGTCTCAAGTCTCAAGTCTCAAGTCTCAAGTCTCAAGTCTCAAGTCTCAAGTCTCAAGTCTCAAGTCTAGTCTCAAGTCTCAAGTCTCAAGTCTCAAGTCTCAAGTCTCAAGTCTCAAGTCTCAAGTCTCAAGTCTCAAGTCTCAAGTCTCAAGTCTCAAGTCAAGTTAAGTCAAGTCTAAGTTAAGTTTACCTGAAAGATGACCCTTAGAATTACAGCCTGGAACTGGACAACTTCGCTTCTCAATTGGATCATATTGGGGTCGAGGCTTTGTACTCTATAATCTCAATTCTTAGACATTAATAATAACAATAGTAATACTAATACTACTTCTAATACTAATACTAATACTAATACTAATACTAATACTAACACTAATACTAACACTAACACTAACACTAACACTAAATAGACAAAAGGGAAGGTAATGGAGAAAAAATAATAGACAAAGAAATTTACAAAAGAGAAAGGAAAGATAATAGACAAAAGAATGAGCAAGTGAGAAAGGGAAAGTGATGGAGAAAACAACGGTTATGGAAAAGAAATGAGCAAGAGAAAGGAAAGTTAAGAGAGAGAGGAATGACAAGAGAAAAAAGAAGGACAAGTTGTAGGAAAAGTAGAGAAATATGAAGGACAAGTAAGTAGAGAAATATGAAGGACAAGTTGTAGGAAAAGCAGAGAAAAAAGAAGGACAAGTTAAAGAAAAAGCAGAGAAAAAAGAAAGACAAGTTATAGGAAAAGCAGAGAAAAGAAATAAATGAAGAATAAGCAAAGAAAGAGAAGACAAAAAGGGACTGTTTCTGGTTTTAAATCTCTAGGAATGAATTCCTTTGGAATAGTTGGTCTTGAAGATCGCTTAGTTGGGCTCCTTCCTCCATCATCTTGTTCAGATTCTGATTCAGATTCATCCTTCTTACCTGAGGTAAAAACTTATGTATTCTAAATCAGTTTCCATCCACGTTATAGCAACTATAAGCGTAATTTTAAGTGACCCTTTATCCAAAGGTGGCAATGTACGATTCACAACGATGCTCTTGAAAGTTGTGTCTGATTAACCCTATTCCTGCTGGGGGGGGGGTCAATTTGACCCCCCCCCCTGTAGTTTTTTTTTACATAACTCAAAAAGTATTGGTCTGAGGCTGTTGAAATTTTCTGACTTTTCTTACATACCCAAAGCCCTCCCTTTAGGCCTAAAACCGAACTTTAATACTAACTGCCTGAGTCCTCAGGCACACTGCCTGAATGACTGCTTTTGCCTGTAACAAACTAAATCTTTGTTTTACCCACTTTCACTTGTCAGATTTTGATAAAATTTAGCTTTTTGGAAAGCCTATGACATATGGAAACGGATTGCACAAGTTTTGCGAAAAAAAAATTGCAAATTTTTGCAAACAACCTGTCAAAGGAAATTTGCACATTTTTAGTTTTTCTTGATTAAGAATCAGGTTATTTAAAATTTTGCAAAAATTTTAAATAACCTGCATATTTGAAATGGCATGGTCAAGGGCTTTTCAAAAATGTATAGTTTTTCATTTTTTGGACAAATTTATTTTTGCAAACATGTTTACTGTATAACTGGATTTTGCGATAAAAAATTCAATTTTTGCAAATTTGCAAATTTTTTGGCAGATTCTAAAATTAGAGCACAAGAGCTTTCTAATGATGTATCATTTGTCATATTTGGACATAAAACATGGGATTTAGAGGGGGGGGGGTCAAATTGACCCAACCCCCCCAGCATATCCTGGTTTTCAAGTACCCAAGCAGGGATAGGGTTAAGTAAGAATTAAATATTAATGTTTACTTAATTTTGGTTTTCCCACATTTCTACTGTAAAAAAATATATAGGAATATGTAGGAAAATTTAACATTATAAACCTAAAAAATGGCAGGTTTCAAGGGTGCTATTGTGAATCGGGCATTGTCATCTTAATATGGAGGGTTACTTCAAATATTACTCCAAGTTTATTGTTATTACTATTAAATTACTATTAAATTAAGTGCAGAAGAAAATAGATTGTGGTAAGAAAATTCAAATAAATTAATGAAGCTATGGATTTACTAATCCTTTTTCGAATCAATGGATTAACTAAGCCTGATAAAAACCATTCATCAGCTTATCCTGATCAAACATAATGGATCAGCTAATCCTGATCCATATCAATGGAGGAACTAATATTGATAAAAAGAATTAAGTATATCGTGATCTGAAGCAAAGGATTAATAAATTTTGCTTTAAGTAAAAGAATCGATCGACTAATTTCCAGATAATGGATTAACTAATCCTGTTCTAAAACAATGGATTAAATACTCCTGATGGTAAACTGACCTGTGACATGAACAGATTTCTTAACAACTGTTCCTCTTGTCTGCTTTCTCGTGTTAGGTCGTTCAACCTTGGTACTCGCCTAGTCAATAGTTATCAAATTATCGATTGCTTCCAGAATCCAGACGGGTAAAAATACATCATGACTGAAACAGATCCACCTGTCCAATACAAATTGCATTAGTTTTTTTTCAATAGTCCAAAAAAGTGCCCCTTGGAACTGAACCCACGCAGGGTACATTTACTTGTATTAAAAACCTTTTAAATTTAAAATAGTAAGTCTGCTTCAACCACCAATGATAAGATTATGAAAACATATTAAAATTTAATTTTATAAAGTCTTTACTATTCTAAATTATGAAAGTTGATTATTCCATTGAATCCTTCAGCGAAATCATCTCCTTCATAAACCATTCTTGGAGTTGAGTATAATTCCACTTCTCTCGTAATGATAATAATAAAAATAATAAAAATAATGTAATAAAAAAATAATAATAAACAATCAACTACAGTTGTCGTCGTGTATATCAATACAATAAAGATTAAAGATGTCGTTTGATTTCAATTATGATTTTTAGCAAGCATTGATATTGGATACACATAAACATGGAAACAAAGAGGAGCTCTACTATTACTTGTAAGATTCTAAAAAGCTTGCTAGAAATCAAAACTTAATCGAAAAGTTGTCTACATTATATTGATAAAAACGCCAACCATAGAAATCAAGGTCGAGCCCCATTCAGAGAAAGGACGGAAATCACTTTTGAGTTGATAAATGACACAAGCCTAGCAGAACCAGATAACAATAAAGTTCTTGTCGTCTTTCTTTTTCTTAAATTAAACTCAGCTAAGGATTTATGTACAACAAATTACGAAATCCTTGCGATAATACTTTTGTAAAAGGAAGAACAGAGACGACTTTTATTATACATTTTATGGTTCTCACTGTACAATTGTCTTCTAGTCTTTTTGTTGACTGTACAAGTTGCTCTGGAACGTACCAAACATCTAGAAAAGGCAGCAAACAACAACTAGAGAAGGTGCCAAACAACTAGAAATAAACCAAACAATTAGAGAACGAATTAAACATCTAGAGAAGGTACCAAACATCTTGAGAAGGTACCAAACAACTAGAGACGGTACCAAACAACTAGAGAAGTTAGTAAACAACAAGAGAGGGAAACAAACAACTAGAGGAGGTACTAAACAACTAGAAAAGGTACTAAACAACAAGAGAAGGAACCAAACAACAAGAGAAGGTTCACCAAACAATTAGAGAAGGTTCACCAAACAATTAGAAAAGGTACCAAACATCCATTTCACAAATTCACCTGTTTTGGACTGCTGTGGGATTGTTTGCTAGGTTTCTTTTTTGTCTGTTTGTTTGAAGTGTCGGATTCTACACTCGAGTGTTCACTATCTGAATATATTATATTCAACAGAAACAACGAAGGAAATTGAGAAAATTTTGATTTTTTCAAAACATAAAATGATGATATCTTCCTCACTGTTGAAAATGACAATTTTATGAATTCAAATATTTTGAAAAAAAGTTCTTTTTAAACTGTAGTGCCCTAATAAATTAGAATAATATGACAAAAAGTAAACAAATATAATACCATTTTAAAAACTAGTGTTATCAAATATTTACAAAATTCAACAACGATAATTTTTATCCTGAGAGAAAGTACAATGAGATAAAAGCAGTGGTAGGCGATTATATTAATACACTGAAGACAACTTTTGATTTCAATTTTAATTCAGATCAAGCTAATAAACAGTACATGGATACACATAAACATAGAAGACAGGAGAAACTATCAATTAAAAAAAGCTTTTTTTTGATTACTTGTAAACTTAAACTTCGAAAAAAGCTTGTTAACAATCATAACTTAAATAAAAAGTCGTCTTCATTGATATGATAAAATGATAAATCGCCTACCACTGTAAAAAGGGCGTAAGCGCTCTTCAATTTACCTGGCAGTTGCCTGAAGAAGTCAGGCGCACTTGCCGCATTGAATTACAAAAAAGAGAGAGATTAGTATATATTTTAGGGTTAGTTTAGGTTAAGACGCTTTCCGGGCCGAGCGTTGCGGCTAGGACAGGCTTTAGGGCCGATAACCGCGGCTAGAACAGTCTCTATCTCTGTCTTAAAATTCAACGCGGAAAGCGCGCTTAAGTCCTTTGGAATTCTGCCGTTTTACCTTGGCTAATTTTACTGATGTCCCCCTCGCTCTCTAAGCTTGAATGTCTGGTTCGGATACGATCTGTTTTCTTTTCCTGCTTCTTGAAACTAGATTCTTTCTTCAAGTCAAGCTTTTTAGGACTTTTCACCTTCTCACTCTTCAACCTAATAAGATAGAGTTGAGCACATACAGAACATATCATCACATAACATATTAAAACAGAACATATCAAAATACAAAATATGTCAAAACCAAAGATTTCAAAAACATAACATATGAAAACAAAACATATCATCACAAAACATATTAAAACAGAACATATCCAACCTCTAAACATATCAAAACCAAACATTTCAATAACATAACAAAACATATCATCACAAAAAATATAAAACAAAACATATCATCACAAAACATATAAAAAAACATATCATCACAAAACATATAAAACACAACATATCATCACAAAACATAAAAAACAAAACATATCATCACAAAACATATAAAACACAATATATCATCACAAAACATATAAAACAAAACATATCATCACAAATCATATAAAACACAATATATCATCACAAAACATATAAAACAAAACATATCATCACAAAACATATAAAACACAACATATCATCACAAATTATATAAAACAAAACATATCACAAAACATATAAAACAAAAAATATCATCAAAAAACATATATAACAAAACATATCATCACAAAACATATAAAACACAATAAATCATCACAAAAAATATAAAACTCAACATATCATCACAAAACATATAAAACAAAACATATCATCACAAAACATATAAAACAAAACATATCATAACAAAATATATAAAACAAAACATATCATCACAACACATGTTAAACAAAACATATCATCACAAAATAAAACATGTCAAAACCAACCATTTTAATAAAATTAAACATTTTATCAAGACTGTGAAAGTTTAAGCACGGAAGCAACTTATGTTCACTTTTGAAAGGGAAAAAACCTAATTTAATTAGTTTTTTTTTGCATTGGATTTGTTTTGTGTTTGATATGATGAGTATTTAGATTTTAGCGATATTTTTTCTGTAATTATTTCAGAAATTGAGTGTTTAATTTAAGTTTTGTATCTGATATGGTCTACTTTTGATACTTTTTGTACTAATTAAATGGGATCTCTTTATTCATTTTATTCCAGTCGTTGTCCTAATGAATAATTATAAGCCAAGAAATGAGAAAATCAATTTCAAATGGAAACTAAAAAAACTTTCGGATTATTATGATTCGGAAATTTCATCAAATCAAGCAAATGAATTTTAAAAACATTAATTTAATTCTAAACCAATATTAGAAACAACGTGGATGGGAGAAATCTTAATTTGTATCAATGGATTGGTAACCTGGACATTGAGACATCTGAATCTGTATCAATGGATTGGTAACCTGGTCATGGAGAAATCTGAATCTGTATCAATGGATTGGTAACCTGGACATTGAGACATCTGAATCTGTATCACTGGATTGGTTACCTAGTACGGAGAAATCTGAATCTGTATCAATGGATTGGTTACCTGGTCATGGAGAAATCTAAATCTGAATCAATGGATTGATATTACATGGACATGAAGACATATGAATCCATATCAATGGATTGGTTACTTAGACATGGAGACATCTGAATCTGTATCAATGGATTGGTTACTTAGACATGCAGACATCTGAATCTGTATCACTGGATTGGTTACTTAGACATGGAGACATCTGTATCTGTATCAATGGATTGGTAACCTGGACATTGAGACATCTGTATCTGTATCAATGGATTGGTAACCTGGACATTGAGACATCTGAATCTGTATCAATGGATTGGTAACCTGGACATGGAGACATCTGAATCTGTATCAATGGATTGGTAACCTGGTCATGGAGAAATCTAAATTTGTATCAATGGATTAGTAACCTGGACATGGAGACATCTGAATTCATATACATGGATTGGTAACCTGGACATGGAGAAATCTGAATTTGTATCAATGGATTGGTTACCTGGTCATGGAGAAATCTGAATTTGTATCATTGGATTGGTAACCTGGACATGGAGACGTCTGAATCTGTATCAATGGATTGGTAACCTGGACATGGAGACATCTGAATATGTATTATTGGATTGCTAACCCGGGCATGGAAACATCTGAATCTGTATCAATGGATTGGTTACCTAGACATGGAGACATCTGAATCTGTATCAATGGATTGGTTTGCACTTTCCTCGCTAAACAACGATTTTTTAGACATTTTTTTCTCTGGTTTCGCGTGCTTGGATGGAGATGATTTGGTCGACTTGATGTCATCCTTCTTTTGCTTTAACTTTTCTTCTTTTTTACGAGACTTTTCAGATTTTTCCTCTTTCTCTCTCAGTTTTGATACAGAGTATATCATGGAATCGTCTGCTTAGGTTATATTGGTCACAAAATAGATTATAAAAAAATTCAACACTTGCAGTCCTAATCAATCAAAAGCAACAAGTCTACAAATTCAAATTCAAACTAGTAGAAATATCAACTGAGCAAATGGCAATGGAGAAATCTACTGACCTGAAGTTAAAAACTTCTCATCCAATGTTAAAATTTACAAAACTGGTAAAAAAAAGTCTACTTATTAGAAGCAATGATTGAACAGACTAGATGAAAAATCTACTAACCCAATCAAACAAACAGATACAAAAAACAATTTCTATAAACATTAACATTTGGATGGTAAATATTGTTTTTTTTTCTTCTCTATCTTTCTTCTCTATCATGAAAATAAAATTTGACCAATAATTTCCTAAATCAGATTCCGAGTCAAATTCAACTTTTTTGACCTTTGATGAACTCCCTTTGGACACTGGTTTAGCGGTCGCTGACTTCTTAGGAACAACCTTTGCAGTTGCAGTAGTTTTGGGGCCTGCATGCTTTTTGGAAATTGTCTTCTTTTTAGTTGCAACATCCATGTCCGAACCATGATCATTTCCTGGAAAAAAATCACAAATAAAAGATAATATTTAAAGTAAATAGACGATAGGAAAAGCTGCGGCCTCAAGTCTTCATTTTTTAATAGATAAGGATCTTCCAATATTATGAAGGTCTAATGATAAAAGTTTAAAGATTATCGTTGTACGTTGACCATTAGCAGTTAGCACTGAAATAACCTTAGGAAGCTAGGAAACAAGTTATTAATAAATACTTTCATTTTTATCAACGATGCCACTTTTGTACTCTTCAATGCTCGTATCGACGAGTCTACTTTCTATTCTACTCTAGAAGAACAGTCGTATAAACAGATTCCACAGCTTTGTGGGTTTGTACCTGATTGACTGGATTGGCTTCTACTGCGCGTGGTTGCGCCGGATTTCTTAAGTTTCTTTTTCCGGTCATCTGAACTACTTCCGGTGCTCTAGAAAAACATAACATTTTAAACCCAAAATCAATTTTGAGTTTGTTCAGAAAAATTTTATTTTATTCATTTATAGACTGACGCATACGATTCACAATGGTACTCTTTAACCCTTTCGTCTGATCTAAATGAGATTTTTCCAGTTTTCCGGCTTATAACTGATTATTTCTAACTGTGGTTTTTCTGTAAAATAGACTCACGGATTTAACGGACAGTAAGAAAATAAACAATCTTATTGTTGGTCAGATAAAGGATTAAAGAGTGACGTTTTTAATTTTAATTTTTATCAATATGACGAAATTATTTTTTTATGAACGACCTAAATAGCTCCTGATAAAAAAACGTTCAAGAACCTAGCTTGCTAAAGTAAAAACGCATAATTCAGTAATGCACTTGAACGGTAATGAACGTTTTTAATAACAAATCATAAGAAACCAAATTATTTTATTTGAACAATCAATAGAACGTTTAAGAACGGCTTAATAAAGTAAAAACGCCGCCATAATTTAACTATTCAACTTAACCATAGTGAACGGTGATACACGTTTTTAATAACAGAGTCATAAGAAATAAAACTAATTTGATTTGAACAAACAATAAAAAAACGCTTCCTTAATTCAAGAATGTATAATTTTTAAGTTACATACAGTGATAACCAGAAAACTTTGAAATAGAAAGACAACTTTATATCAATACTTAACTGTTTTTGATGTTGTTACAAAGCAAATAGTTTTACTATCAGACACATATTTTTTAAACATTTATTTTTGAACATTTTTTTTAAAAACAAAATTTTAAAAAGCAGTGAATTTTTCTTTGAACGTTTTGTCTTTTTTTTAAGCTGATCATAAATCTGTTTTCTGTTCCTCTCTTTTAGATCTACGCATTCTAATCCTTCGTAGACAAGGGAAAAATGTATTTTGTCATATATTTCTGCTTTTCTTTCTCCCTAATATTACGCATATAAATATTTGTTTTCTATACAGAGGACAGAGCTGTCAAATTTCTCTGACAAGTTATGTTGTGGATTTATGATGCAGATGTTTATTACATATGTTCTTACAGGTTGGAAAAATAAAAGTCACTGCTAAGCCGGGTTTGAAAATTCTGAGGATCTATTGTCAGAATTCCGCTATTTTAATGACAAATGGGATAAGAAAGGTTAGGCAAGGAGTGGATATTTTCGATAAAAGAATTCTTGATTCTTGTAAGTTCATTCCTGACAGTACTTCAGAATAGGGCCTCGTCTACGGCAATCTTTAACTCGCAGCCGGCAGGGTATAAACTGGTATCATAGTGCATGGTGCACATTGCACAACCTATCAGGATTCTACTTTTTATGTTTCCATTTTCCTTGTTTCTGGCAAGAGGGAGGGGGAANGGAGGGAGAAGCATAGACACATACAAAATTACTAATGAAGTAAAATGGGTCATGAGCCTAAAAGTAGTCTTCTTATTTTAGAGTTTTCTTGTAATTCTGTGAATTAGAATAATTCTACCTTTTTAGATCTTTGTGAGGAGTCGGAATCTGATGATGAATCAGAATCTAAAATATAAGATTTTTTTTGACAATATTTTGTTAATTGTTTCATCTGAATATTTTGCTTATATAAATTCCAAAATTACTTTTTCCAAAATATCAAATTTTAAGAATTCATGAATGCAAATTTTTTATGATGAATTTGAAATTTTTACAATATCAAACATACATATAAAAATTAGGCATATTGTTGTTTAAAGGGGCTGTCTCTGCGTGCCTCATGATAAAAAAGGGGCAAGCTAGAATCAAAACAGAACCCGTCAAACCTGAGTAAAAAATGCTAAAGATATCCTTGTTTTTTAATCTGAAACTCGATAATTTTCAGATGTGGTTTCTATGTAAAGTCGAGGACAACATTATCTTCCTCATCGATGCTCAGATAATGGTTTAAAGGGTACTGTTGTGAATCAGGCAACTCTATGAATGGTGCATCACTAAAAATTACGTCCCTTTAATATATTCAAATCAAATTACGTTAACAGTCCCATTATTGATAAAAAAGGTACCTGACGATGAGCTGGATGAAGACGAGCTTGAAGAACCGGAAGTTGACGAACCGGAAGTGAGGACCGGTGGCCGAGCCTTAGGCGGCATTTTGATTCTGAAAAAAATTGCTACAAATTTAGTTGAAATTTTTTTCACCAACTCACAAGGAATTGATTTTTTAAAGAATATTTTCAAAACAGAACAAAACCCAGATAAAATTTTTAAATTTTTGAATAAATGAAAACAAGTTTTTCGAAGTGCAATTTTTAGTATTTCCACAAAGACTTGCATGCAACTTTTGTGTGAAAAATGTTTGTTCAAATGAAAATTTCAGTTATTGATTGTTTGATTGATTTGTCGCTTGGCGTTGATGGTTTAGATGCTTAAAGATTCAGGATGTACTGCGCCATATCATTGATTGATTGATTGGCTATTTGACAAGTAATGGTGGCTTAGATGTTCTAAGATTAAGGATTTAATGCGCAATATCATTAATTAACTGATTGATTGATTGGCTAGTTGCCAGGCAATGGTGGTTTAGATGCTTTCAAGTTGAGGATATACTGCGCCATATCATTGATTGATTGATTGGCTAGTTGCCAGGCAATGGTGGTTTAGATGCTTTCAAGTTGAGGATATACTGCGTCATATCATTGATTTATTGATTGGCTAGTTGCCAGGCAATTGTGGTTTAGATGCTTTCAAGTTGAGGATATATTGCGCCATATCATATTCCTCTTCGTACTGGTCTTCGTCCCACAGCTCAGGCAAGTTCTCCAGGACAGACCTAAACAGTCAATCAATCAATCAATAGATCAATCAACACATCAATCAGTACATCAATCAATACATCAATCAAACAATCAAACAATCAAACAATCAATCAACCAATTTATATGATCTAATTAACACAGAATAAAGCATTTATAATCAAATCAAATCAACATAAAAAAGATCAAATCATTATAAAACTTCACTAAGAAATAATCAAAATATCAAATACACCAAGAAATGCTCTTTTAATGATTAAACCATTAAAGCTACGTAGAAACGATCAAATTATAATCAAATCAACCTAACCATCATTTATAATTTATTTTTTAAATCAATAAAATCAATCAGCGATCAAATCATTACAATGATATCTATTAATAATCAAATCCTAATAGATATAATCAATTCAAAATCAACTCAATTCAACTAATCAATCAATAAACTAATCAGACTTTGGGGAGTTTTATAATCACATCCCAATCCCAAAATGACTATAGTAAATTGGGATTGAAATAAGAAATTATAATTTGCAATCAAAAATAAAATTTACATTCAAATCTTATATATAAATCATATGTCTTCATAATTTCTTTTTAATTAAATCAACATAGAACCAATCAGTGATCAAGAAATGATAAAAATAACTGTAAAACAATAATCCAAACATCAATGAGTAAATTAATTAATCAAAAATTACAAGTTTTCAACGATAAAAAAACAATACTTTACCCAAAACAAAAGTCAATCGAAAATAGAAATCCTTAAATAAAATTTTGATAAAAATCTTCTGTTTTTAATTACATGGAGAACCAGAAAACTCGAATAGGAAGACGAGATAAGAGCAATAATTAAGTTTAATAATGCTGTTACAAAGCAAATAGTTTCACTAGTAACTTATTAAATTATTTGTCAACAAAACTATGTCTGTTTAAACTGCACAATTGCAGTGTCTCGTGCTAATTGAAAAACATATTATGAGTAGTAAAGTCGTCTTTCTAATCCAGAGTTCTCTAGTTCTCACAGTACCTGATCCCCGGCTGTAGATCAGTATCCCTAGTTTTCTCATCCTCCTTGCTTAAACTGAACAGATCCAGAACCTGAAATAAACAGGGGTCAAAACTTTTGAATGAAATAGCGCTAATCTTCAACGCCTTAAATCCTTGCTTAAACTTAACAGATCCAGAACCTGAAATCAACAGGGGTCAGAACTTTTGAATGAAATAGCGTAAATCTTCAACGCCTGAACTCTTGCTTTAAGTGAACAGATAAAGAACCTGAAATCAACAGGGGTCAGAACTTTTGAATGAAATAGCGATAATCTTTAACGCCTTACTCTTACTTTCACTGAACAGATCAAGAACCTGAAATAAAGTCAGAACTTTTGAATTAAATAGCGTTAATCTTCAACGCCTTAAATTCTTGCTTAAACTTAACAGATCAAGAACCTGAAATAAATAGGGATCAGTACTTTTGAATGAAATTGCGTTAATCTTTAACGCCTTAAATTATTGCCTAAACTGAACAGATCCAGAACCTGAAATAAACAGAGATCAGAACTTTTGAATGAAAAAGCGCTAATCTTCAATTGGCTGTTTAGTGTTTATTACTCGTTTTGCACATTCAACTAATCAGGAGACTGGATTTTTTGATTGGTTTGATCTATTCAATCATCGAATTGATTTTGAATATAATTTTTTTCAAAGTTACGACCAAACAAAAGCCAAAGAAATTGTTCTGAGCCAATGAGAAATTGCAAGCATATATCAGTCATATAAATATATACACGCTTGTGAAAAACAATGTCCAATTTTTCATTATCCCCCCGCCCCCATAATCACAAATATTTTTTTTCTCTGATCTTCCCCCCTCCTCCCCGGGGTCAGGGGGGTTAATTCTGAATAATTTACACCCATGTTCAAATATAATATCCCAGATATGACGAGATGAAGTCTTTTTACTTAGTTTAATGATAATCTTTTTTTTTCATTTAAAATGAAAAAAAAAACTTTAAAAAGGTTATTAGAAGGTTAATCCTCTTATAAGCCTTAAAAGATTAAAGAATTATGAATTGATGATTGGGGTAAAAATTATTAAAATTGGAAATCAAAAAATAACTTTTTTCCTTCTTTTAATACATTTTAACCACAAATTCATTTATTTCCCCAATTCGGCAAAAGAAAATCCAAAAAAAAGCATTTATAACTTTTGAGAAATATGGATTTTCAAAACGGGGGGGGGGGGGAAGAATTATGATTTTTGAGAAAAAACGAGACGTAATCTTTTCACTTCCGTAATTATACAGGGATATATATTTTCTTAGTTTCATTCTTAGGGTTATTCTCTGAGCTAGGGAAGATGCATGAATTTTTGGGCAAATAAGTATCAAAATATCAAATCGAATAGGACTTGTTTTGATCAGTATTCTTTTATAAACCATGCAAATTGTTTACTCTGATACAGTAGTCGGCGATCAAATCAATAAAATGAAGACGACTTTTTCATTGAAGTTTCGATTGTTAACCAAGCTTTTATCGAATTACAAGTTTACAAGTAAACAAAGAGAAGCTTGTTTATGCTGAGATCTTCTACCAGAGCCAAGATCAATCAACGTGTAAAATAAGCAAAATTTTGGAGAATAATATTTTGAAAAGTGTTAAAATTATCAGATTTCTCCTAAAAGCCTAAAAACTTTGAATGTTTCAAAAACGGAGAGCAAGAATGCTTAACTCTATTCAGTAATAAATGTAGATCTACCTACATTGAAAAGTGAAATGGTTTTAACGCTGGGAAGGAAGAATTTTCGCATGCACGACACGAAAACATGGTAAGGTGGGCGCCGAACGCCCTGATTTCTATTCACACAAAAAGAGTAATTCTTAACAAACCTGATCCGTTCCCATGGTCTGCATACAAGAGTTCTCTGAGGATATAACCGTCCTAGATAGATATATTGATAGACAGATGAATAGATTTTTAGATAGAAAGATAGAAAGAAAGATAGATAGATATATAAATAGACAGATAAGCACAGAATAGATAGATAGATGGATATAAATATGAATAGATTGATAAATCTATAGATAGATAAAAAAATGGATAGAAAGATGAATAGATTTATAGATGTATAGATAAATGAATAGATGGATAAAAAGACATAGATAAATAGATACAGATAAAAAGATGGATTGATGGAAAAAATAGATTGATAGATGGATAGATATGTAGGATATGTAGATAGATAGGAGACTGGAGAGATGTATAGAAAGATAGATACGGATGGATGGACAATAAAAAGATTGATGAAAAGATGCAAGGATGACTGGTCCTAGCATATAAGCATAGAGCCCTTAACTGTACGTTCAAAGGATGTTTATTGTTCAACGCAGAATAAAACATTCTTAAAGGAAATGAGGTTTTATTTTTTAGTTGTAAGTGCTCTTCCATTTATAAAGACGGGCATTTACAACAGCAGCCTTTAAACCTTTCTCTGATCAATAATGTGAAAGATATTGGCGGTTTTTTTTCTAGCTCAAACAGTGTAACTCTGACAGTCTCCTACATTGTTACTAAAGCAGAATTGCGCAAGTCACCTTTAAAAAAAATACTATTAAAAAAAATCAATTTTCACAGAGAAAATAACAGATATCTCATGCAATATTGATCAGACAAAGCTGTTAGGGGTACTGTTCCATATCAGACAAAGCTGTTAGGGGTACTGTTCCATATCAGACAAAGCTGTTAGGGGTACTGTTCCATATCAGACAAAGCTGTTAGGGGTACTGTTCAATATCAGACAAAGCTGTTAGGGGTACTGTTCCATATCAGACAAAGCTGTTAGGGGTACTGTTCCATATCGGACAAAGCTGTTAGGGGTACTGTTCCATATCAGACAAAGCTGTTAGGGGTACTGTTCCATATCAGACAAAGCTGTTAGGGGTACTGTTCCATATCGGACAAAGCTGTTAGGGGTACTGTTCCATATCAGACAAAGCTGTTAGGGGTACTGTTCCATATCAGACAAAGCTGTTAGGGGTACTGTTCCATATCGGACAAGGAAATCTGTAAATGGAGTCACTTGAAATTACGGCTACAGTCCAATTAAGAAAGTTTTATACAAATTGATACAAACATCGATATTGCCCAGATGAAGGAATTCAGGAAACTGTTGAGAATCGGAATCTAGAAATGGTGTGTCAACAGTCCGTTTAAAGGGACTGTAAGCTTAATTTCAAGTCACCCTCCAAGCAATGCTCGATTTACAACAATATACATAAAAGCTTTGTCTGCTCAAGTATGAATTAGAAATCCAGGTTATTGTTTCTTAAACATGTTTATTTTCATTTGCGCAGAGCTCAGGATCCGGATCCGTTGGATCCGCAAGATTTTGGCTTCCTGGATCCGGATCAGAATCCGCAAAAATATGCGGATCCAAGGGGGAAAATACTAACCAAAAACTGAAAAAAAAATTACACTCAAAACTCACATCTGAACAAATGTAAAAAGAGAGATTATAAAAATTTCCTGATTTCTGAATGGTTTATTGAGTTTTAGCATACAAATAAGAGAAAAAAATAAGACAAAAAATTTAAAAATTCTGCTTTGTTAAAAAAAATTCGGTAAATCCGCATCAAAATTAAATGGATCCTAAGAGCACCACATTTGCGGTTTCTCTGAAATAGAAATGAACATTAAGCCAGAAAAACGACGGTATGTTTCACATTGTTGATCATATTTAGGTTTTAAGGGCATCGTTGTGAATCGGGCATTGCCATCTTTGCATGAAGGGTCACTCGAAATTGTATCAGTCCCTTTAATATTAAGAATATATAGAACTAACCTTGCAGTGTGAATCTTGAATTTTTGGGAAGACATGATGGATTCTTCTATAGTATTCCTTGTTATCAGCCTGAACACAATCAGTATCATTATTATCGATATTATCATCATCTTTCAGTCTATTTAAAAAAAAGATGCATACAAATTTGCTCAGTAACGTCTAAAAATATCTTCAAAAAGTATCATTTATATTGGTGCTAGTATAATTTTGATCTGTTGAAAAAAAAATGTGTAAAACAATATTATTAGTATTATTAGTATTAGTATTATAATCATCATTAGTATCATCATCTGGGTGGTATCTTTTCTTTGTTTTATATTAACTGTATAAAAAAATTCTAAAATACCTGTAAACATTGACAACACGTTTTTGTCCAATCCTATGGGCTCGATCCATGGCCTAAATAATATTCAATTCAATTTATTACATAAATTAAACAGTGTAGATTATTGATCATTTCTTTAAAGTATTTAATTATGGCTGAAATACATGGCTACCGACTAATAATGAGAGTTCAAAGACGACTGTACGGAATGTATGCATACTTAATTCTTTCAGTCTTGGCTCCCTGTGATTCTTAAACCTTTTTTCATTCAATGCTTTGCTCATTCAACCTAACAACTTCAACCAGTTATATTTCAGGAGTTTTAGGTCGTCATACAGTGTCATCCTCTGTATTCAACTCTGTACACATCAGATTATCAAGTACAATAGGTGGCAACGGAGAAATGGACCAATTATACATGACGTCACAAGTGTCAAATATAACAAGGAAAACGAAATATTCTCACATTAATTGACATGTTTTCCAAGATTAAATAAAAAGTGTAAAAACAGAAACTAAAGAACACATAAAATTGCACTTATTTCACTGTAAGATAAAATTATCACTAAAATTAATAATTTTGCGGGCAAAAAAAAACCTAAGTTGACACTTAAAACGTTAGAATACAGCTGTATTGAGAGTGTACAAATTCTACGTTGCTATCTATTGTATTTGGTACACATCTGTACCTCATAAACTCCATAACATTTGTTAGAAGCCCTAGACATATACATTTCAGAACTGTAAAACAATAGTTGGCATAATTCTTGGTTAGTTTGGATCGCAGTTTGTACTTTAAACGATTTTTGTAAAAAATATTGAAACTGGAATGTAATATATTAACACGTCAGTATCAAATCAAAACAAATCAGGCTTTTAGGAAAGTCCTATATATATTTTCCAACATTTTTTAAGGAAAGTCCTATATATATTTTAAGGGAAGTCCTATATATTTTCCAACATTTTTTACAACGTCCTTTTTGAACTTTTTGAAAACCTAACCTTGCACTCCAATCTACATTATGGAATAGGGTTAATATTCAATTAAAATTATCTAAAGATTCCGATCATGTTCTACAAATTAATGGATTCTTTATATTCCCAAATATGCAATGCCGCTCTTTTGCAAATTATTAATTTTACCTGAAGATGTATAATATGTAATCCAATATTATCTTGTAAAACTATACGGAAAAAAATAGTAAAAAAAAATTTACCTGAAGATCATTCATAGGATTCCAATCATGTTCAACAAATATCACTGTATCAGCACCCGTCAGATTCAAACCCAGGCCACCAACACTAGATACGTTTTTTTAGTGTTAAATGGATTGTTAGCGTTTAACCCCTTCAATGCACGATTCACAATAGTACCCTTGAAACCATAATGTAATCAAAAATGTATAATAAGTTATCCAAATCAAAAAAAAACACATTGATATCTTATAAATCAGGCTTTTAGGGAGGTCCTATCATCCATAAAATGGTGTCGTGTTGAATCGGACATTGTCATCTTAGAATGGAGGGTCAAAAATCACGCTAACAGTCCTTTTAATTATTTTTAAAGATACATTCTCGATTTTAATGATACCCTTAAACCAGTGTCTGAGAAATGACAACGGACATGTTTTCCTATTAGAAAATTGTTCTTTTTAAATTTTAAATCATTACTATCATTGTTTTTATTTTAACAACATTTTCTCATTTAAACAATCATTGTTTGAATTCATACTATCATTATGTTTGCATTTAACCTATCCTTGTTTTAATTTAAACTATCATTGTTTTCATTTAAACTATATTTGTTTTCATTTAAACTATATTTGTTTTCATTATTAATATCCATGTTGTCATTATTAGTATCCTTGTTTTCATTTAAACAATCATCGTTTTCATTTATGCTATCCTTGTTTTCATTTAAGCTATCCTTGTTTTCATTTAACTATCCTTGTTTTCATTTAAACTATCCTTGTTTTTATTTATACTATCCTTGTTTGCATTTATACTATCCTTGTTTTCATTTAACTATCCTTGTTTTTATATATACTATCCTTGTTTTCATTTATACTATCCTTGTTTTCATTTAACTATCTTTGTTTTAATCTATACTATTCTTGTTTTCATTTATTCTATCCTTGTTTTTATTTATACTATCCTTGTTTTTATTTATACTATCCTTGTTTTCACTTAAAATATCCTTGTTTTCATTTATCCTAACCTTGTTTGCTATTACTACGTTTTCATTTAAACAACCATCGTTTTCATTTATACTATCCTTGTTTTCATTTAAACTATTTGTTTTCATTATTACTATCATTGTGTTCATTTATACTATCCTTGTTTTCATTTAAACTATTTGTTTTCATTACTACTATCATTGTGTTCATTTATAATATCCTTGTTTTAATTTAAACTATATTTGTTTTCATTATTACTATCATTGTGTTCATTTTACTATCCTTGTGTTAATTTAAACTATATTTGTTTTCATTATTACTATCATTGTGTTCATTTATACTATCCTTGTTTTCATTTAAACTATATTTGTTTTCATTGTTACTATCATTGTGTTCCTCGCACAAAAGAAATCTATAAAATCTGTACCTAGTGGAACGAATAAGATCAATTCTAGGATCAATATCTGTACCTGGTGGTAAGGAGAAGAAGATCAATACTAGGATTAAGAACTGTACCTGGTGGTTAGGAGAAGTAGATCAATACTAGGATTAAGAACTGTACCTGGTGGTTAGGAGAAGTAGATCAATACTAGGATCAAGATCTGTACCTGGTGGTTAGGAGAAGATCAATACTAGGATCAATATCTGTACCTGGTGGTTAGGAGAAGTAGATCAATACTAGGATCAAGATCTGTACCTGGTGGTTAGGAGAAGTAGATCAATACTAGAATCAAGATCTGTACCTGGTGGATAGGAGAAGAAGATCAGTACTAGGATCAAGATCTGTACCTAGTGGTTAGGAGAAGATCAACACTAGGATTATTATCTATACCTGTCATGGTGGTTAGAAGAAGTAGATCAATATTAGGATCAATATCTGAGCCTGGTGGTTATGAGAAGATCAATACTAAGATTAAGATCTGTACCTGGTGGTTATGAGAAGATCAACATTAGAATCAAGATCTGTACCTGGTGGTTATGAGAAGGTCAATACTAGAATCAAGATCTGTACCTGGTGGATAGGAGAAGTAGATCAATACTAGGATTATGATCTGTACCTGGTGGTTAGGAGAAGTAGATCAATACTAGGATCACGATCTGTACCTGGTGGTTAGGAGTAGTAGATCAATACTAGGATCAAGATCTGTACCTGGTGGTTAGGAGAAGATCAATACTAGGATTATGATCTGTACCTGGTGGTTAGGAGAAGATCAATACTAGGATTATGATCTGTACCTGGTGGTTAGGAGAAGTAGATCAATACTAGGATCAGAGTTGAATCTGGTTACAAGATCATGGCGTAGATGAGCTGGTACAGAACCGTCAAGGCGGAGGTAGGTAACCTCCGGGAAGTGAACCTGCAATTTAATTATCTTTATAAGACAACCCTGGATTCAAGGAACCAGGGGTTGAGAATATTATCATCATTATTATCATTATTTAAACCTGCATTCAACAGTATTTTAGAGAGTGGAGGGGGGGGGGGGGGGGTGAAATTTTAATGAACCAAAAATGATGGGCGTAGGTGGGGGTGCACCAGAAGAGAAAATTTTATGACCTAAAAAACTCAAAAAGGGTCAAAATTAATGACTAAAGACTAAAAACTAGATTTTTAACTTAACACACATTATAGCCTTTTAAGAAAGATATTTTGCCTGTTTTGCATAATTTTTTTTAGAAGCTATTTGCATCAAACAAAAAAAATTGGAGGTTTAAGATGTATAGATTTGAGTTAAAATATAAAAAAATGTATTGACATTTGACACCCCCCACCTCCTTTTAAAATTTTAGAAATTTATTAGAACAAATAGAAACTTTTGTGGTTTCTCAAGCCAATCCTGGTCTATTAATATCCTTAACAGATCATAATTCAATCATAACTAAACTTTTTTTGGAAAAAAAGAATACATTAAAAAAAATTTAAATAAATACCTTTAGCAGATCCTCTTCCAGAATATCTAACATAGTTTTAAGCTGGCAAAACACCAGAGCTCTGTGTTGGCTAACAACACTCTCAACACTTTCCCCTAAACAAATTGATAAATAAAAAGAATATAAGACATAAGATTGAAAAAAACCCAGCTACAATGGCATCTAAGCCGATTATTGCTGACTAATGTTGTATGTGCGACATCGAACGTGTTAATCAGAGCTTTGCCTTATTCTAGTAAAACACATCGTGATGTGAGGCGGTTTATCAGACGGAAATTTTAATGTTAGCTAAACTGAAGAACACATGAGAAGTGAGGAATAAACAACAAAGATCTTCACATGCAATCAATAAAGATTAGCTAGAAAAAATCAAGGCAATGTAAGATAAATGAGTAGACGAAAATCCAGTCTCAGTTGGTTCCAGAAACCTACCTGTGATGCCCAAGTCAGCGAGCAACTGCTTCAAAGCTGTCAGCTTGGCAGAGTGTCCTAAAAGAGTGAAAACATAAATTGTTGTTGACTGGTATTCTTAATAAACAAACAAAACACTCACCAATGTCCTTTAAATATTCTGCTGGATCTTGATTTGAACCATGATGCCCTTCTACCAGTAAGGGATAGAGAGGATGCTCTGGAGAGAGAACAAGCTTTGGATGATTACAAACCTTTTTCAGATATTGCATAGCTTTGAACACATTGGGATGAAGATTTTTCTTTGGTTGAGAATCATCCGAAGCATTTGATCTTATTTCATCCTCACCTTTCAGAGCACTTTTATCAAAGTCCTCATACAAAGAAGTTTGTATGGGTGATAGGTCACAATAATAATCTTGGATTATTTTTGGTGGAAGATCTTTAAGAACATCCTCCTTGACTCTACGGAGAATGAAAGGCAAAGTTTGTCTATGCAATGCTTCCATGGCAAGCACACCAACCTCCTGATCTTTAATGGAGCATTTACTCTCCTTACTGTTAAGAATGGGTCGAGCATACCGGTGCATAAACTGCCTCTCAGTCCCCAAATATCCTGGCATGAGGAAATCAAACAAAGACCACAGTTCAGTGACTCCATTTTGAATTGGGGTCCCGGAAAGGATTAACCTATGTTTAGAACTTAGTTTTCTGACAGCCATTGAAGTTTTAGACTTTGTGTTCTTGATAACATGGCCCTCATCTAAAATCAAGTAATCCCATTGTATTGTTGAGAAAAACTCTATGTCATTGCGCACAATATCATAAGAAGTTATGATAACATTATGCTTGGGTATCTGTAAGCGGAGAGCAGATCTTAATGATGAATTGCCTATGTAGAGAAAGGGGTTCAGAAACTCATTACCCACAAACCTATTGATTTCTTCCCTCCAATGTCCTCCTAACGTTGTGGGACAAATAACTAAAGACTGACAGCCTTGAGCCCTTGAATTCTTGTGATGATTGGCCAACAGACATATAGTTTGTAAAGTTTTACCTAATCCCATATCATCACACAAAATACCATGAAGCTTGTACTTGTGCAGAAACCCAAGCCAATTGATGCCAGCTTCTTGATAGCTACGAAGTTCAGCTTTGATTGGGACTTTCAACTCATACCTTTCTGCATTCTTAGAGTTTAAAAGCTGGTTCAGAAAATTCTTCTCCTCTTTCTTCTTGGCAAGTAAACTCTCTGGCATATCAACAGGGTCTGGAACACTCTCTCCGAGGGGCATTAGTTTGACCAGAGTAGCAAATGTAAATGTTGCTGCCAATCTTACTTCTTGATTGGTATCCGACATTCTACCCAGGACAGGAACCACCAGTAGTACTATATACGGAATGATGTCAACAGTAAGGTTTGTAGCTAGGCAGGAAAGTGTTTCTATAACACCAAGTCTAAATGTGAGCTCGGTATGTTCAAGGAGGGGGAGAAGATGAAGAACTACTGCAGTTAAAGTTTCTGACAGCATAACTTTTGAGAGAGCTGTTAGACATGTAGCTGCAGCATATCTAAATGGTATTTAACATATAAGAACTTTTAAATTGTCTTTAACGGTTAACAATTACTTAGCAACTTCAAAAATAATGTTTTCTTTTCCTCAATGCTAACTCGGACAGAATCAAACAAAAGTTTGTTGCAAATGACTTTTTATTATATTACCTGACAGCAGTATGATGACTAGTTGTGTAACGCAGTAGCACAGGGATTAGTTCTCTAAGCCTAGGGAAGTCTGAGGGAAGGACGGACACCATAACTTCCACAATCTTTAAACAGTTTGGTAGATCAACTATATCACAGTTTCCAGATATCACAGATTGAAAACTAAGCTCATCAAGTTTGGGGATCTTAGTAAAAATCTCAACACCAAAATGTTTCACAAGCTCCTAATAATTTCATTTTTCACAAAACTTGCCGTTTTTTTTAAAAACAAACCCAAGTTGCACCTCCAAATTTACAAATACCAAATTGGCTTGTCATGCCATGTCATTTTTCTCAAGTACAGACTGAATATCTCTTACAAATATCAGCTTAGTAACTTATCATGATGAAATACTCGAATTAAGATTTGAAAGAAGACACATAATGAATCACTTTGTACATGAAAACTACAATTTTAATGTAAGTGGAATTTTATTCATATTTTTAATCTCTAATTCACATATTACATTGAGTAAGAAAAAAAGCGTCCATTTAAAAACATATTTAGTTAAAATTGAAATCCCTGAATAGCTAGGCCGGCTCCCCTACACTGAACCTCCACAAGGCAAAGATCCTCTTCATTATTTACATCTATTGTAGACTGAAGCAACATCCCAGAATTATCAACCTTCATCAAACCAAATATAATAAAATAAAATAAAAATATAAAATAATAAAATAACCACCCTCTAAGAGGAAGTTTTCATGAAAAATTTGCTAATTTACTTCTCAAAGACGATACAAGTGTAAACAACTAAAATTTTGGCTTGACCACCCAATTTGACTACAAAACATCTCTTAACCTTTAAAATAACATTTCTTTTCAATAGAAATATTTGAAATATAAGTTATATGGGTTCCTTTTTAGTTTTACGACCAGTCAGTTTATTCCTAAAACATAATTATAAAATCAAAATTATTATTTTTATATAATATGATTATTGTTATATTGAGCATTGATCATTATCATTTCCAATAAAGATTATATTCCTCTTCAAACCATAAATAAGACATGCTATTTTTTGTTTATTTCCTTTTAGATTTTTGTTTTAATTTCTTTTAACTTAACATTATTTCATTAATTTCAGATTTTATTTTCACACTTGTATTTATTATAGGTTTTAACTGATTAGTTTTCAGAAAAACGGTATCCTTTATTATATGAACAAGCTTGTGAACCCAGCTTTGCCAGGAGTTTTCCAAAAAAAGTCCTCTCACTCAAGAATTTTAAACCAGGCTAAAAACACTCCCGTGATTCTATGGACTTCCTCAATCAAAATTTTGAGTAAATGGGTTCAGGGGTTCATGAGAAATGATCAGACATACAAACAAACAGACAGACAAACAGAGATTGATTTCTTGCATGCATATTTATTTACAAAGAAACAAGTATGTGTTTCTAATTCCATAAATTATGACATTAAAGAGACTATATACGTAATTTTAAGTGACCTTCCATGCAATGATGGCATGGCAATGTCCGATTTACATCGGTACACTAAAAACTTAATCTTATCAAAAATGTGTAAGATACCGCTGTTTTCAAGACTCAAATAATGTTAAATTCTGATAATTTCTCCATTGCTTTAGTAGAGTAACCAAAAATGAAAATAAACAGCTTAAAGAAACAAAAATATGGATATCTAATCCAAATACTTTTAAGGGTACAGTAGTGAATCGGCCATTATAGCTTTTAAGGGCGCTGTAGTGAATCGGCCATTATAGCTTTCAAGGGTACCGTAGTGAATCGGGCATTATCGTCTTTGACTTGAGGGTCACTTTAATAAAATTATGCTTTTAATTCTGTCCCTTTAAACATATTTTCCAATAAATGAACAAACCGTTAATCAAATGTCACAAAATGTCAGACATGTTATTAACTATTCAGAAGAAAATATTTATTAATATTGTTGATTATAATTCCTAAAATTGCAACTAGACAATCATTCTATTCAAAAGCTGTATACATGTTACTTTACATATATGAAATTTCATTACAAATGAAAAAATTAACTTAATGGGAATTTATATGTTGATTCATTAGACACTCCATGCAAAGATGACAATGCCCGATTCACAACGGTACCCTTAAAAGATTCAACTGATCAAGGTTGAATTAGATATCAAGGTTGAATTAGAAATCAAGGTTGAATTAGAAATCAATGTTTATAAATTCAAAACATTATTATTTTCAATTGCGGTTTCTCCACAAAAGGTGGTTTCAAAGGAACCGTCGTTAATCGTTCATTGCCATAACCGCATAGAGGGTCACTTTAAGTCTTAAATCACACTTGAAATCACACTTTAAAGCACACTTGAAATCACACTAGAAATCACACTTGAAATCACACTTAAATCACACTGAAATCACACTTGAAATCACACTTGAAATCACAATTAAATCACACTTGAAATCACACTTGAAATCACACTTGAAATCACGCTTGAAATCACACTTGAAATCACACTTGAAATCACACTTGAAATCACACCTAAATCACACTTAAATCAAACTTAAATCACACTTGAAATCACACTTAAATCACACTTGAAATCACACTTGAAATCACACTTGAAATCACACTTGAAATCACACTTGAAATCACACTTGAAATCACACTTGAAATCACACTTGAAATCACACTTGAAATCACTTAAAAAGTAATGTTCATACACAGGAAGATACTATCTGAAGTGAAAACTTTTTCAATATGAATTTGGGAATTTCATCTTCATTTTAAGCAGACCTTCTGAAGGATAACAAAAAAATCTATTAAAAATAAAAAGTCGTTGTTGCATATATCAATACATTGAAGACGACTTTGTATTACAATTTTGATTTAAATCAAGCTTTTAAACACATGATTACACTCAAAAATGAAAAAGCTGTCAATTAAATAACTTCTCTTTGATTACATGTAAAACTGTAATTTTAAACATCTTGTTAACACTCAGAACTAAAATAAAAAAGTCGTCTTCATTGTATTGATATAATCGCCGAGCACTTTATACAAATGCTTACTTGAGGGCCTGCTCTGCTTGCCGTTCTCTAAAATAGTTTGAAAGGATCCCAAGACCGGGGTGCACGCTGCTACCAAACTGGGTCAGCTCAACCTATTCACAGGTCAGGAATATTGTGAGAATGGTTATTCATTTTCAATATTAAAAATCTACCCAGGTAAAATCAGATCAGACTTCTAGGGTTGGACTACTTCCATACTTTAATTCAAAATGACAAAATCAAAAATGGAGCCTGGGTTTTTGATTATCTGTGATTCAACTAATTACTTTCTTTTTATTTCCATTCTCTTTATTTTGCGTGGTAATTTCACTACATTGAACATTGAGTCTACCAACTATTCACTTAACGTCAACATAAGTAGTCCTTTAATAAAGGCATAGAACGATCAATTGGTTAAACAAACATCAGATATGTCAGATTTAAGTTTGTGGTGGGAAACAAATGTAAAATGGGACATCAAAAGACAACTTTTTTCATTCTTTTCCATACTTTTTACCCAAAAATTCATTTATGTTCCCCCTAAAATCATTTATTTTCCCCAATACACCCCCCCCCCCCTTCTTCAAAATGAGAAAAATAACCAATGCACCCCCCACCCTCCTCCTTCAAAAGTGTCAAGACTTACCTGAGGTGTATTGACAGGATGGGAACATAGAAATGTACACAGATTCGTTACAACCTGCAATAGTAACATAATATCTATTTATCTATATAATGTGTATAAAGTTGTAATCTCTGTTTGTTCGTTTGTTTTTCCGATCATAACTCCGGAATCCATGGACCGATTTGTCTAAAATTTTTATTAGGGAACTCGGGAAATACACGGGAATGTTTTAAGCCTGATTTTGAGAGTCTAAGTTGAGTAGATCGACTTTTTAGCAAAAATTTAGGTTTCCTGGTAAAAATCAGTTTAGTGTGGATAAACTGGGAGTGAGTAACTATGAGTACCCTGGGCAATGTTGGGTTCCCAAGCTAGTATATATATAAAGTAGTAATAGTAGTTTGTTTGTTTGTAAGTACGGTAATAACTCAAACATCTAAAAGATTAGCAAGCAGCGTGGTGGTAAGGAAATTATGAAGCAGATATGGATTACTATTAAAGATTTCACTATTTTTTTCAGAATTAATAACATTCTCTTTGTTCAATTCTTTAAAGGGCTGTACGCGAAATTTTAAGTGACCATCCCTGTAAAGATAGCAATGCCCGATTTACAACGGTACTCCATCCCTGTAAAGATGGCAATGCCCGATTCACAACGGTATTCCATCCCTGTAAAGATAGCAATGCCCGATTTACAACATTACTAAATCTCTGTAAAGATAGCAATGTCTGATTTACAACGGTACTCCATCCCTGTAAAGATAGCAATGTCCGATTTACAACGGTACTATTGAAATCTTTATCTGATCAACAATGTGGATATTATGTTATCGTTTTAACGACTCGAACAGTGTTGTATTTCTCCATTATTTCTTAAAGCCAGATCTGACAAAGCTTTAAAGGGTACTGTCGGATTGTCATTCTTGCATGGAGGGTCACTAACAGTCCCTTTAATCAAAACCACACAAATGAAAATATGTTGTTTCCTTTGATGATCATTCGTAAACTTAAATGTCAGGCTCCACCATTGCACTTACAGTGAGAACCAGACGCTGTGGAATAAGAAGACGACATTAAAGCTTATTTGAGCTAACAAGTCGTCTTCCTATTCCATACTTTACTGGTTCTCTAAAATTATGCCAACGATTGGTAGATTCTAGAATAATATTTCAAATATCTAATGTCTCTGAATATGCGGGAAGAAAACGAAGTATTAAATTCAATTTGCAAGTGAAAAAAATAAAGACACAAATTGAATTGAAACCTTTCAGTAAGTTTTCGAAACCGGATCTAGGATCTAAATCATAATAAATCCTGTATAAAATCTAGCTAAGCTTAAAAACAGGGTGATCAAGTTCCGTTTCCAGTTGGGGGGGGGGGGGCGTGTCGAGTTCTGTAGATTTATCAATTTATCTTTGATGGTGGCAGAGGTAACTCTTTCATGGTCCACATAGGTTTTACATCCAGAGAACTTGAAATGATAGATTATAACCTTTGTGTAAGTAAATGTCGTTTTATTATAGGTCTTATTCCCCCTTTTTTTCTGCGAAAATCTATCCAAATGATTTGCTTTTTTTAAATAGTATCCAATTGAGGTCTGTGTGCAAAAGATTTTATTATTTTCGATGAAAAATGAATTCATGAATCCAGAACATGTGAAAAACAGTAACAAAGTGGAAAATATGATAAAATAGGGGGAAAATGATAAACCTTAACTTTGTTCTGATGTTAGTAATGAGACAGGTGGGTCATCTAGCTGATATTTGAAGCCGACTTTTTAGTTAAAAAGCTTAATAAACATGGAACAATGTGGAATAGTGGGGACTTGCTTTACCACAATTGTTTTTTTATTTTATTAAAGGGACCAAATGATGCCCATACGCAAAATTTAAGATTCCTCAAAAACTTAAGACAAGATTCCAAAATGTATTCAAAAATTGGTCAAACTGACCCTCCTCTTTTGACAATTTTTAACTTAAGTATTAATTCTTTAAAACTAGGCGTTAAGGACGCTTTTATATTCAGTTTAGCTTTTGACTGTCGTTTAAAGCTAGCCATTTTTACGCATTCTCAAAAATAAAAAAGTCAACAATTTTTTTGCAAGCAAAATTGTTTTGCTTGGACGGTCAATGACCCTTCCCTGGGGTTAAGTGAATAGCCATAATATATTTAAAACCGATATTATCTGTTTAGACGTTTATTAGATACAAACAGACAGATCTTAAAGGCAATACAAATATCCTCTCAGACTTTATCTCGAAATGATTAAAGGCATATTTTCAGAGTAAAATTTTAAAAAATCAATGCATTCCGCAAATTCTTTTATCCAGACATTTTTAATAAATGAAAAAACCCTGAAGTTTTAAGTAAATGTCAAGGATATTTATATTCAAAAGAACTTTTATTGATATTAATTTATGTTCCCTGGAAACCATGTTCACAAAATTTGTGGTTGGTGCAAAAATACTGAAAAAATGATGAGAGAAATGATTTTTCAAGAAACAATTTACCCCTGTAAAAGGTAGTCTAAAGATTGGGTTAAATTAAGCTTGAAAATTGATGCGATAAATGCTTAAATGGACATGATAGGACATCAACAATTCATTCAATGATTATTGAATGAAAATGATAATAACCGAGACAATAGTTTTTTCTTAGCTTTCCTCAGATAATTTGATAATTTTTGGTATAGTGCAGGCCATATAGAAGGCTTTAAATTAAACAAAGAATTTTTCGTGGCTGTTGAGTAAAAAGGCATTTTTAATTGCACCAATTAAATTAAAGATTGTTTTAGGCGAAAAATTTGGATTTTTCTGAAAAAATACTAGGAAATAAGATAACTTATGAAGATGTTGAGATGTATTACACCAGCTCAAATGAAACCTTTATTTGTCTAGCTAAAATGTTTTTTTTACATTTACCAATGATCTCTACTATATAAGCTAAAACAAATGTTGACAGTTTTGCTTATCAAAACTAAATGATCGCCTTAGGCTACTTGGACTGAAATTTGTGATTTTTTCCCTGCAAATATCTGAACTTTTATTCAATTTTCTGTTTTAAAGTACCCTTATTAAAGAACTTTTCATAAAAGGTCGGATAAATTTTCACATTTTACTCTAAAACCCTGTGAGCAACTCCAAAATCCTGGGAGCAACTCCAAAATCCTGGGAGCAATTCCAAAACCCTGGAAGCACTCCAAAACCCAGAGAACAATTCCAAAACCCTGAGAGCGGCCACCCCTCCCTCCCTGAAGTGAATTGAAGTGAAAATTGTTATATTTATTGGGGTTTATGCTGTAATAAAAGTCTCTATTTTGTGGGTAACCCTGCAGTATAATTAAAATAGGCAGCATTTTCTCAGGCAAAGATAATGATTATGTCGAGAATAAAAGTTTGAAATATGGTAAACTTCGTGTTAATCATATTTTATCTAACGAGACATGAATCAAGGACTTGAATCTTATCTAGTGGACTTGTCTGTCTAGTGAGACATGAATCAAGGACTATAACCTTGTCTAGTTGACTTGTCTGTCTAGTGAGACATAAAGCAAGGACTCTAACCTTGTCTATTGGACTTGTCTGTTTAGTGAAACATGAATCAAGGACTATAGCCTTGTCTTACGGACTAGTCAAAAAGCAAGGACTCTAACCTTGTCTAGTGGACTTGTTTGTCTAGTGAGACATGAATCCAGAACTCGGACTAGTCCTTTAACTGCAATATTCTGAAACTCTAGAGACCAAAATTTACTGTTCATACCATATAAAAAAGAAACATTAAAAATGTACATTTAGTAGAATATTGTTTTCATAAAAAATTGGAAGATTATCAAGGGTCAAAACATTTTAACATTTCACTCCGTTAGAATAGTTTCTTAAACAGTTATTTTGATTTCCTTCGTTCTGTTCCCTCTTGACTGCGTCCATGAGAGGTTTGATAACACAGTTAAGTTTGTCAGGTAAAGCAGCTGGGCCCAGACAGGATAGCGCGCTGGCCAGCGTAGAAAGGCATACACTCTCTATTTCCTTAAAAAGTAATTATATTAATTTTCAAACCAAGACCAGGGAACATATTTTTAAACTTGCTATGAAAATATATACGCTTGTTTTAAAACTAGGCATTTTGATTTTGATTTTGATGACATCACAAATTGACAACAAGGGATTAGAAAATTAAATGTCTAAAATACCTGCTGCATATTCAGATATATCTGTAGTGAGCTGACAACTCCAGCTCTCCGGTCCTCAAGGGTTTCAATCGCCTTAAATCATATATTATTTATATTATTCATCCTCTTAACTACTACCTACCCAAAGTATTCCTTTAAAGTTAAAAACTATGTTGGTCTCTTTTTCAGGGGCAAGTTTAAAAACTAAAATTAATCCCAATGTAAAGGTACTTATAACAAGGCTTGAGATCCAGGTCAAGATGTAACAGGTCCAAATGGTGAATTATCAATGAAAACATACCCAAAGAACTTGCTATTCTCAAAAAAACATATCTTGATTGATGTCAATTGAAATAAGATCTAAATTCTTCATGCTCTTACTATTTATAGATCTAGTTTAATTCCTCACAGGACCAGATTTGTATCTCAGTCCAGATTTGCATAAAGTTGGAGGGACCCTAATTTCTTAACTAAAAAATAATATTTACCTTTGGTTTCAGTTTAGGGTTGTGCAGATACTGGTTGAAAACAGATCCAACCAGCTTATCAATATCAGATATTGACAATGTTCCATCCTTTCCTTGTATACTGTCATCAAATGGAACCTTGTAGTGCCTGAATTTATAGATTATTATTATTATTAACTAAAAACAATGCATTTGTTGAAAAAGGGGTTGGCACTTCTAGCTGCCAAAACGTATCCATGGGCAACATCGTTTTTGAAGCCCTACAGAGATGGCGTAAAACAGGCAATCTGCTGTGACAGCTCTATTTCTGGAAACTCTCTCGATACAAAGTGATTTGCCCTAAGTAGCTCTATTTCTGGACATTACTCAGTTTTTGTTTTTAATTCTCATAATTAGATAATTACATTATTCCATCATTCCCTTGAAAACTGTCAACAAATGGAACCTTGCAGTGCCTGAATATAGATTATTATTATTATTATTGACTAACAACAATGCATTTGCTGAAAAAGGGGTTGGCACTTCTAGCTGCCGAAACGTATCCATGGGCAACATCGTTTTTGTCGCTCTACAGAGATGGCGTAAAACAGGCAATCTGCTGTGACAGCTCCATTTCTGGAAACTCTCTGGGTACAAAGTGTTTTGCCTGAAGCAGCTCTATTTCTGGATATTACTCAGTTTTTGTTTTAAATTCTCATAATCAGATATTGACAGTGTTCCATCCTTCCCTTGAAAACTGTCAACAAATGGAACCTTGTAGTGCCTGAATATATAGATTATTACTATTATTAACTAACAACAATGCATTTGTTGAAATAGAGGTTGGCACTTCTAGCCGCCAAAAGGTATCCACTATCAATGGGCAACGCAATCCGGGAAGCCCTACAGAGAAGACATTACAACAGGCGATCTGCCTGAGACAGCTCCACTTCTGGAAACTCTCTTTGTAACAAGCAATTTTTCTTGAATAGCTCCATTTCCGGGAGCAATTTAGTTTTTATTTAAAATTTTCATAATAAGATAAAGATAGTATTTCATCCTTCCCATTCGTTGAAATAACGTATCCGTGGGCAACATGGTTTATTAAGCCCTATAGAGAAGACGTACAACAGGCGATCTGCCTGAGACAGCTCCATTCCTGGAAACTCTCTAAGTACCAAGAGATTTGCCCAAAGTAGCTCCATTTCTGGAAACCTCCTTAGTTTTTTGTTTTAAATTCTCATATCATGTATAGCTAGTATTCCACAATCTCTTACAAACTGTCATCAAATGGAACCTTGTAGTGCTGGAATATAGATTATTATTATTATTGACTAAAATCAATGCATTTGTTGAAAAAGCCTCCAAAAATGGGAAACACAGTCTTGGAAGCCATTCAGAGAAGACTTACAACAGGCGATCTGCCAGAGACATCTCCTTTTTAAGGAATTCCCTTGAATACAAGAGGGACCATGTAGTGCCTAAATATAGATTAAATTCTCAATATTATACATATATAGTATTCCATCCTTCCCTTGAGTACTATAATCAAGAGGGACCATGCAGTGCCTAAATATAGATTGAATTCTCAATATTATACATATATAGTATTCCATTCTTTCCTTGAGCACTATAATCAAGAGGGACCATGTAGTGCCTAAAATTTTTTTTATTATTATTATTTCATTATTATTAACCTTGACCATGATTAAATTCTAAATATCATTAATAGATAACACTTCATTATTTTCTTGGCTGTAATTCTAAAATAGATTTATATTTTCTGAAAACTTTCATGAGACATAAATTTCAAATATTCATATTATTGACAAATTAATAATTAACATGGAATAGTGTGGGTTTTGTTACAAGAAGAATTAAGATTCAAAATTATGTTCAATATTTAGGATATTTGCATCTTTCACACTTAGTGTCAAATATGGATATTCATTTAGCTTAAATAATCAAAAAATTTCCAATGAAAGAATCAAATATTAAAAAATCAATTTGTGGCATTATGAAGAAATCTGTTTGTGTATTAAGCAATTGTTATAGAAGATAGGGACCCACAAAAACTAATAAAAGATTTATTTCCCGGAAAAATTTGAAATTTTGAAATTGAAAATATTAAAAATGCCCCCCCCCCCGCTTCTTTAAAAATGAGCCTTTGCATTTCGGAATGAAAATATTATTGATTTATTGCTCAAGATAATTATGAAGAAAAACATTTTTTTCAAAAATATTTTAGGTTCTAAACTTTATGTCTTTAAATGTGATTTTGACTTGCTGTCTATAGTCTAACTTTCTATTTTTCTGAAACTATTCATCATACAATGCAGCAGAAGTCAAAACCAGAGTTACTACAGGATTACAGATTTGGGGGTTATACCACTTTATCTATTTAGATACATCTTTAAAAGTGGTCAAAAGTATATTTTTTGGCCATTAATAACTTGTTTTTTTCAGTTTGGATAGTTTAAAGGCATTTGATTAATGGGATTAATTTAAAATTGATTTTCTCCTAATTCCCTATTTAGGATTAACTCAGTGGACTAGATATTAATAGATTCCAGAGAAAAAACTGAGGTGTTTTGACTTGATACCTGACAGTTCATTTTCAGCAGTGTGAAAACCTTACTGGCTATGCACTCTGCAGTCATTTGTGTGTGGCTTAAAACTATCAAATAGTTGAGGTATCGCATTCATATAAGTTTGACATTGGGTGTAGACTATAGAATGAGGAGTGTTTACATATGTGGCAGTCCTTTCACCAGCTTAGACTTCTACAACATTGTTATTAGCCTTGGTACTAAGGAAACAGAGGTTCAAATTTTTGGATAGAACCTCCGAACCGTGCTCTAGATATGTTCCAGTAAACACTGAAAGATTATAGCAGCAAAAGATTGCTTAGGCATCCATTTCACGCCCAACAAATAACAATCTTTCCAATGCCTGCTGTGTTAGATTCACAATTATGATCATAAAGTTTGTTGCCCTACTAACCAACTACTTTCCAATCACAAGTCTCCCTTGAGAATTAAGATCTCCTTAAAAGTCTCAAACTCGACTGTCCAAGATCCTGCTTCTAGGGCATAAATAGTTGTCTTAGTCATGCAAAGCAGCAAAGGGACCGAAAATGTCCTGTTTTATTGCTATAAGGAGGACACATCGAAAAATGCTTTAACTCAGAATTTCCTCTGAACTAGGACTAGGTCAAGTAAAGCATGTGTTTCAATTTTATCTTTACCTGAGAGATGATATGAAATCAGAAGCATCAGACAATAGCCTATTCTTCTGTTGCACCATCTCTACATATGTCTGAGGACTGCTCAAGTTCCTAAATAAAGTATTTTGTTGTCAACCCTACCTTCTGCTATCTTCGAATTTTTAAGCATTCATAACTTATATAGCATTACATCTTTAGTTGGTAAAAAAGACTAGTCTAGACCTGGATATTTTATTACATCCTTTAATGGTTAGAATAACTATCTGAGCAAACAGCTTGGTAGCTGTTTTATTTTTTTATTTCAAAGGTTTTCTTTCAGTAAACAACATTAAAAATCTTGATTTTTGGCAGTGTTGGCGGTAGATATACCAAATATTTATTTACTGTTGTCACCATTATTAGTTGGTCAGTTTGTTATAAAAATTGTACTTCTAAGAAAATACAAGACCAACATCATTTCACATCATTATGCAATATCCAAAATTACTTGTTCATGTCATTTATGCAATTCAAACCGAAAACTTTAAGAAATTTGCATTTATCTTATAAAAGCATCTTTCATTTGTTGTTTTAATTTTTGTTCATTTAAAAATCAACACTTATTTCAGCAGTTTGTAATTAAACATTGCCGAGCTCTAGTCCAATTTGATTACCAGACCAGCTCCTGCGCTAGATCTATTGTAGTCCATATGATCTGATTACCTGACCAGCTCCTGTGCTATTTTCTACTGTAGTCCTATGATCTGGTTACCTGACCATCTCCTGAGCTGGATCTACTGTAGTCCTATGATCTGATTACCTGACCAGCTCCTGAGCTAAATCTACTGTAGTCCTATGATCTGGCAAACTTGTTTGATCCAACCATTGGATAATTATCATTGATATTGACAGTTTCTGGTAAGCAGAGTTCGTTCCTTAAAAAAAATCTCTGACAGAAATTATCATTATAATTGAGAATTGTCCCTTTTAAAATGGAGGGATACATAAAAAATATGACAGTCCCTTTAAGAACAAACTAATAACACAGTTTTCAAGCAAAATAATTCTATTTACAAAACAAATTCATTATCTGGGAGTATTTGATTCATATGATATCACAATTATGGGTAATTTATCATTAAATGATCAATTTTCTGCAAAATGCTCATTGTTTTTTTTTTCTTCTTTTAAAGATTATACATTTTAGCAGATTTATATCCCCTGTGATATCCGCACTATGACATTTAACAATTTTTAAAATCCAACTAGTTAAAGAATCTGCAAACCTACAACTATTATAATTATTTTTGCAATGGAGTGCATAAAATTTATGTAATTATCAAATTTGTGATTGATAACAGAGAATGAGCATTGTACCAGCCACTATTTAATGCAAATTTACTTAAAATGAATGGTAATTGTTCACTGCCATGCCCTTAGAGTTTCTAATCGGAATTCCGTTGCACGGAGTCAAGCAGAATCTCGGCCAAACGGTTCTCATATTGTGCAGAATTGCGGGGAAATTACAGCGCCGACCATTGCACGCAAATCCACTTGCATTGGAAACCATAACTGGCCTGGATTTTAATGTACTATTTGATATTTTGGGTGATTGCTGTTCAGATGGTTTTCAATTTAAAAACGTTTTAAAGGTTCAAAAATTGCAAAAAATTACTCTTTTTAATTATTCTGAAGAAAGAAAAAAGATTGTTATATTCTTTAAACTTACCTAACTGCGGAATGAGGACTTTAGAAAGAAGCATCTGAAGTGGGGTTTCCATATCTTCCGTATATTCAATACCTTGAATAAAACCAAATCAAATCAAATATTATTTATTTTCGCAGAAACATAACATTAAATAAGATTCCTGTTTTGATAAATGTTAAAAACAATAATAATAAAAATAAGAATGATAAAAACTCCAATAATTGTAATAAGCAAAATAAAGACCAGGGAAAAAATCAAGATAACTTTGCTGCGCGGATTGATAGAAGATGGAATCTCTAAAACCGTACTGCCATGCAGTTCAAGTGCACCGATACC